TGGGGAAACAAAGGTGCGTTCTTTATCACAGCTACCTCTTTGATACTGGTTGCAAATAAATATATTTATTTGATAATCTATTTCTCGCTAATTTTATCAGGAAAGTACTGCGTTTTCGCAAAACCGGAGGTTCCTGATTAAAGGTGCTCGCCAAATTGGCAAAGTGCTGTCAAAGTTGATCCCAAGTTGAAGAGGCTTGAGGAGGTTGTGAAGAAACTAGGTAAAGTTTCAGCTGAGGTTAGTACTAGTACTTTTCTTCGTCTTATTAGATAGCGCAAAGCAGGAGCAGCAGCGTGAGTTGTACGAAGAACGTGAAACAGGATCCTTCCCTACAAGTGATCTCATCGGTAGAAGGGAGGCTAAGGATGTTGTTATGCAGTGGTTGAAGAGGCCATCAAATGAGCCTCGGGGAGCCAAGGATGTTGTTATGTGGTTGAAGTGGTTGAAGAGGCCATCAAATGAGCATCGGGGAACTGATTTGTACAGAAACATTTCTCTTCTATCTATTGTGGGCCATGGTGGTATGGGAAAGACAACTCTGTTGCAACATGTCTATAACGATGAAATCACACAAGAATTTGATCTTAAAATGTGGGTTAGTGTTTCCAACAACTTTGATGTGAAAAAAGTCATTGCAGATGTATTGGAATCTCTTAAGAAGGAGAGGCCACGTTTGGAGAAACTTGTTGCACTTCAAGATAGCCTTCGGACTGGGATTATGTCAAAAAAGTTTTACTTGTGCTGGATGACATTTGGGAGGAGGAGGATAATGGGAAATGGGAGAAGTTGCTCTCCCCTCTGGCTCATGGGAATATTGGTAGTAGAATTTTGGAACAACTCGAATGAACTCGGTTGCAATGTTGATTGAAAAGGTCATTACAAAGAAGGTGGAAATATTTAGATTAGAGGGCTTGGAGGAAGATGAGTGTTTGCTACTCCTTAAGTTTTATGCATTTGCTGGTGTAGAGAACCCCCCTGAAAATTTAAGAGACATTGCTGGAGAGATGGTTAAAAAGCTTTTAGGATCTCCTTTGGCAGCGAAGATCATTGGTGGTGTTCTAAGAGACAAATTGGATGAATCGCATTGGAGGAAAGTTCTAGAAAGCAATTTATTGGATAATAATTATATCCATTCCATCTTAAGACTGAGCTATATATTTCTGCAAAATCCTATACAAAATTGTTTTGCATTTTGTTGTAAATTTCCACAATATCATCTATTTAATAGAGATGATTTTCTCCAAATGTGGATTTCATTGGGTTTCATTCAGCCACCTCAAGGAATGACTATGGAGGGTTTCGGAGGAAGGTATTTTGATGTTTTACTCAAAAAAGCTTTATTTGACAAGGTCAAATATGACTGCATTGTGAGAGATAACTACAAGATGTATGATTTAATACATGAGTCAGCATCTAAATTTTTTGCACAGGAATGCCTTAATGCTTTGGATGATGAAAGGTCATTTCTCGAAATTTCTGAGACTATTTGACACTTGTTTGTTCTAAATGCAAAGCCATACATCTTAAGAAAGATTGAGAAGTTTAAACATTTGCATTCTCTTTTCTTGTTCTATAAAGCTTCTGATGAAGATATTTGCAGTGCACTTACAAAAATATTCGAAGCATCGACAAACCTACGGTTATTATACGTATTTGCTCCATACTTGAAAGTAATACCCGAGGAGATTGGAAATTTAAAACATCTTCGATGCTTAAAGATTGTTGGTTGTAGTTTGACTATGCTGCCAAGATCTCTAAGCAATCTCTATCACTTGCAATACATAATCTATGATAGCGCATGGCAAAACCAACCTTATGGTGATGATTTTTTACCTGACATTAAGAACCTTACAAAGTTGCGTTACATAAAATTGCCCGAGAAGGTGAGAATTGAAGTATCGCCTCCTTAAAAAAGCTGACAATTGAGGATAATGATGAGGTGGTTTCCTTTCCAAATGAGGCGGAGCAGTGGTTTCTGAAAGTTAAGTCTTCTCTTTCTAAGCTGCAATTTTCATTACTCTAATCCTGACAGTCTCTCCCTTCCTCCTTGGAAAGCTTATCTTCTATTCAGGTTCTACATATTTGGGGCGTTCCTATGCTTAAGGAATTACCGAACCTTCCTCCCTCTTTGGAACGTCTAACAATTTGGAAATGTCATCGAGAGTTAGAAGAGCGCTATCGAAAGGATGGAGGCTATGATCGGGCACAAAATCAATATTTAGACAAAGCAAACTTCTTTCATCTTATTTCTTTAATATATTTGAAATGTGAAGAATGCAATCTCAGCTTTGATATATTACTCTTTTAATATTTTGTTATATATGCTGTGGATCATTCTTAACTGAAATCTAAACAGTTCTTTTTAATTTCTTATTGATTCTAATAATGTAAATATATAATCCAAAATACCAAAAGCGAGATTGTAGATGAGGACATTTTCTTTTGAAATTGCAACAACAGCTATTTGAATATTAATCCAATAGATTGTTATTCTTAGCTAATCAACTATTTTTTGAATTTATTTTCTAACATAAAAAATTATTTTCAAACACATTATAAACATTCCTTTAATTTTAAATCTTATTCAAACTTATTTATAAATTAACTTTGTTGCAAATCTCGATCTAAGTCAATTAATGTGTATTTAATTCTAATAATATAAATATATAATTCAATTACCAAAAGCGAGATTCTGGTGGAGTTCTTTGAAATTACAATTGCAGCTCTTTGTATATTAATCCGTTAGATTGTTGCTTGGTTTGTTTTTCTTTTTCTTTAGTTAATGTCTGATTATTACTGCTACATAAGTTTGTGAAATTGGCTTTGTTCTAGTTGATATTTACCAATGGTTGAATGTGTGGGCTCCGAAAAGATTCGCGGATTCGTCGAGTCCGAGGTTTGCGGGATTAGAAGTGCCTCGACGGGATTTCTGCCGGCATTCATGGATCCAACAGGTATTATTCTGGTTCATTTTTGGAATTAAACAGAGGTTAACAGAATGTTAATAAGATTTGTTGGACTATCTACACATGGTCTTCTAATGATTTTCTTTAGAATGACTGTTGGTTTAGAATGATTGTTGGTTTATCTATAGGTGGTCTTATTGCAAATATCCTGATTAAAAGTTTCACAGTACCAAAACAAGAAAAGACGATGCAAATATTTAAACCTTCCAATCTTTCTTAAGATTGCCTAGATTTGTAGTTGGAACAAACTAAGTGCTGAAGGTCCCAAGAATTACAAGAGGCAACTCTTCATCACCCACAACTTTGAGACATTCCTGTGCAAAAATATTATGTGCCAACTCATATAGTAAATCATGCATCTTGTAGTATTCTAGATTTATCCTAAATCTTCAAACTAGTCAAAGAAAGATTTTTTTGACTAAAATATCAAAATACCTTCCTCCGATATTCTCAATAGTCTCTCCTTGAATATGAGACGGCGAATAAAACCCAATGCAATCCACATTCGGGCAAAATCATCAGTATTGAACACATGAATTTGTGGAAATATTGAACATAATGCAAAACAAATTTGTAGAGGATTTGACAGACATATATAGCTCAGTCTTAAGATGGAAAAGATATAATTCTGACCCAATGTTGTAGTACTTAAATTGCATTTTAAAACTGTCGTTAATTGCCTATCATCCAAGCTTGAATTTAGAATACCACCAATGACCAACGGAGAACCTGAAAGCTTTTTAACTCTCTCTCTAACAATGGCTCTTCAACATTTTATAAACATTAGGGTTCTCTACATCAGTAAATGCATGAGTTGAGAAGTTAGAAAAACTCACCCTTATCCGACTAAAATCCTAAATATTTCCTTCTTCCTTTTAATGACATTTGCAATCATCATTGCAACTGAGTCCATTCGAGTTGTTACCAAAATCCTACTACCAAAATTCTCATAGCAAAAGGGGCGAGCACTTTCGCCAGTTTACTTTTATCTGCTTCTCGTCATTCTCCCAAATGTCATCCAGCACAAATAAGAACTTTTTAGACATCATCATAGTCCGAAGACTATCTTGAAGTGCCTCTAGTGTCTCCAAACAAGGCCTCTCCTTAAGAGATTCCAACACATATTTTTCATATCAAAGTTGCTGAAAACACAAAGTCACAAACCCACATTTTTATGATCAAATTCCTTTGTGATTTCATTTTTATAGAAATGTTGCAAGATATTGGTCTTCCTCATACCACCACGACCTACTATGCATGGAAGAGAAATGTTGACGTACAAAGTTGTTTGATATTGTTTGGGGAGAAATTAGAGGCTTAGTTCGTATCCATTTAGCATAACGAAAAATTACAAAGAGCAAGACTCAAAGAAAAAAAAAAAACAAATGAAACTTGTAACATGAGCAACCAAAAAATTATGAACTCAAAATCCCTAAAAGAACATATAAGTGATCCTAAAACTAAAAAATAGCCAAAACCTGAAAGTAAGAAACAGGAGACATAAGAGATATGGGGAACAAATAACAGCAAAGCTTAAAGGACTTAGAATGTACAAACGAAATTACCCAAAAAATGGATATTCTCCCCTGGTTTCCGTTGGAGCTTAATCTTTCAACGACTATCATATTCACAAATTATTTGGCTCGTTGGTTTCACTTGAGTCATAAATATATTCCAATATGCTCTTAATCTTAGATTTATAAATTTAAGCTTAAATTAAATTAGCCCACCCTTATATTAATTTTAAATAAAAATATTAACTCATATCAAATAATCTTTATAAATTCAAACTCTAATAATATTATCTAATTTATTTTTGAAGTATTTGCATCTAACTCATACTTATAACATATTAAAAAAATTATCTAACTTTGATAACCCTTTTAGTTTTGTTAGTGACATGAAAAATCAACTGTCAATTATTTTGCATTTATAATATGATTATTTTTTTAAATAATTATACACATAATTAAAAAAATGTCAATATTTTAAAAAAGGACAAATGTAAATAAGACAGACCACAACATTGAGTAATCTATAAATAACATTGAAGCAATTTGAATCAGTCAAATCTAAATAGCTAAAAATGCAACTCTTGTCTAGATTCACTCAAAACGGACAGTAGCTGAGATTCTAGATACATCGAACCTGGACGCTTCTACGAAATTCAGCTTACCAAGACGGCATTAGCCTATAACCATCAGCAGTTAATTGCCCACAAACCATTAATGACTCATTTGTGACATGGCAGTCCGCCCGCCATCGACCTCGCGCGAATCACGTGCACGTACCTGGACGTCGTATTGAATTATGAAACGGGACGATCGGACGGCTTCAGTTCCGCTTTTGGCCAACGTGTTGCGAAAGTGCAATTTTTGCAAAAACACCCTTTAGAAACTAAAACTTCAGTCCCGTGAAGTAAATGGAGAAAAATGTATGAATTATGAAATCAAGCCAGCACCTTGTTTTCTCAATTTGACATAATAAACCCCCTCAGTTATTATAAATGAAGAGCAATTTTGTCGAGTTTTTTTAAATCAGTAAAACAAAAGTTGATAGGACTGCTATTTTTTATTATTTAAAATCAAATTCTTATTATAAAAATCATTTTATGGTAAATAAAAAGAACGAGATTCTAAATTGCAAATAATTAAAAATGAGGGATAACTATGTCTCATGGTATAACGAGGTTCATTCTACAAATTAATAATTCCAAAAGGAGGAAGATGAAAAGTTTTTTATTATCATTAATGCACATTTCACTATAAATTATATCTTGAGCCAGCAGGATGGGAGGAAATTAGGAAAAGAAAGGGAGAGCAATCAGAAACTTTTAAGATGGCGACAAGATACAAGAGGGCTATGGCGCCTCTGGACGACAAGGCTCGAGCGCGGCTGTGGGACGGTGGCGGAGCAACCGCGGTGATCGCCGTTGGCAGTGAAGGGTCGACGGGGAAGTTGGAGGAGCTGGTGCACGCGTTCTACAACGATGAGATGTCCATCAGAGGAGAGAAAATTGAGGAGGAGGAGAGGCCGGCGGCGAAGTGGCGGCAAGCACTGGAGTTGGAGCTGAAGGATGATTTGGCAGAGCCGGCGGTGAAGTGGATACGGGCAAAGGCGGAAGCAGCGGTCGGAACCGCCGGTTTGGAATGCGAGGACGTCGTCAGGCGAAGGTTGGTTCGCCTGATGCAGGAGAGGGGCTTGGATGCAGGTGAGTTGGACAGAATCTTCTGTCGTATTTTAGTCGGCTGGGTATTAGTTTGATACACTGCTACACGTGACACCGGATAGCATTTGAATGAAATCAAAATTCAAAAAATTTAATTTGGTTTGATCTAACTATTACTATTTGGACTGAATCTTCGATCTGTCCAGGAATTTGCAAGTCCCAGTGGCATAACACCTCCGGCATCTCTGCCTGCTCCCACGAATACATCGACGCGGTCGTCGGCGAGACACGTTACATGGTTGAGATCAACCTGGCCGGAGAATTCAAGATCGCAAGGCCAACAGAAGACTACACGGAACTTCTCCGTTCACTACCAAAGCTCTTCGTCGGGAGACCGTCGACACTTGAGGCAGTGATCAGGTTGATGTGCTCGGCTGCTCAAGAGTCCATCAAGAAAGCCGGCATGCACGTACCCCCGTGGCGGCGGACGAAATACATGCACGAGAAATGGTTCGGTGATTACCGGCGATACACAGATACGTTTTCTTCTTCGGATTCCATAGGCAGGACGGCTCCTACAGCTTACACGGCCAACCAACGCTGCAGAGGAGCCACAGGTAGCAGCAAACTAGTAAATAGCATTTTCCTAAGGGGAATGTGAAAGGGGACGATCATTTAACGGTTATAGGAAAGCTTGTGATGTTTGCTATTTTGCACATATATATATATATATATATATATATATATATATATAACATTAGTTATTCTATTGAGGAGATTGTCATGGAGAGATGTTATTTTTTTTTATTTTTTTTTTTTCATGGAGAGATGTTATTAAATTAACTGGAGGAACTGGGAGGATACAGGAGAAAGAACAGTTTTGAACTTTCAATAAATGATGTAAGATTTATTTTGGGTTTTTAAATAAAATGCACAAGAATGTCGTGCTAAAGGTTTATATCTTGCAGTTTAAAATTCTTGTGTTGACTTTGAAACAGTTTTTGATTTTGACCATGTTCTTGAAGATATTTGCTGTTGAATCTGAGATGTGGATAAAAGACAATGGCAAGTCAATGTGTCCAATAACCGGTTTTAGTTAATATTATTCAATATTGAAATATTCATGGAAGCTGATATTAAAATTGAAAGTTTTAGCTTCAAGATAAATCTTAAATCTCCCATAACTATTTATGACAGACTTTTTTTTTTCCCTTATACTCGGCAAAACAAATAGAACAAAATCCGCAAAATTATTGCGTCCTACCACCTGACGTAGAGATACATTCTCCAACCGCTAAAAAATTCGGTTTTTGCTCGGTATTGCTAGTTATTATTTGGTAATAACGAGGAATATCATCATGTGAAGACCAATACCGAGCTATACCGAGCTTTTTCAAGGAAAAACTAGGTGTTTTTTTGTATAGCTCGGTATTGCTCGGTATTGATCTTAACATGATGATATTCCTCGTTATTATTTGGTATTGCTCGGTATTTGCTTGGTATTTCTTATTTTTTAGCGCGATTTTAGCGGTGGGAGGACGCAATAATTTTTTCTAAGGCAGAGACAATCAGATGGCCATGACTTTTTCTTGAAGAAAAACCTTTGAACAGAGGGCTATATTATAAATAGCAATTATTTCTATACGGTCAGAAAATAATAATAGACAGAAAACAATTAATCTTGTAAAGCTCTTGATACAAAGGCCTCATAGCTAGAGCATTTCTCATTCTCGTCCAGGAGGGATATCCAGTGAGGTGCATAAGCTGAAATATTTTCTTTTAGATAGAAAGATCATGTTCTTATAATTTATTTTAAATTAGTTGATCTTCTCGAAATTTGTTTTATAGGATCAGATACTAATTGGATAAAACAATGCCCCTTGATATGTTGGTGTTATTCTGTCATTCTGTGGTCACTATTTTTCTGTATTCGTCTCTCTTGTGGTCTTTGCCACTAGTTCTATTTTTCTTCGTTGTTGTCCTTTGAGGCTAGAAATTGGTATCACAGATGCTGAGAAGTATGAGTTCTTTTTAAGTTTGATTTAAAAAAATAGTCGGACAAAGAGACTTTGGCATAGGAAAGAGGCAAGACACGAGCACTTACTGTTCAACATGGTTTACGATGATCCTCTAAAGGGAGACAGATCGAAATCAAAACTATATGATTGAGATAAGGCTAAAATTACCTCCAAAAGTACTATATTTCTGAACCTTGGTGAAAAGCCTTAAGTTTCAGGATTATATATATATACTACAGCCATGTAGAACAAACTTGAGAAATCGTATATGACTAAGTCACTGCAAACAAATTCTACCTGAAACAAAAAACTCATTCATTCAAGATGAAATAAGGAAAATTATTCGAAGATGATATCGATTAGTTCAAAAGAACAATGATGATCTTGAGAACATGGATGTCAAGGTCAACGAAGAAGATCATACCAAAGTGCTCCTTACTGCTCTTCTGCCCAAATCCCATGAAATTTTGTTGATGCAATTCTTTATGAGGGAGAACAATTTCCAAAGAGAAAAGAAGAAATGATGGCAAAACTTTTCTCCAAAGAGTAAAAAGAAGAAATCAAAGCTTAAGGAAGAATCAACTGGAGAAGGTATTACAGTAATGCGAGACATGAGAAAACTTACTAAAAGCAATAGGGAGGAACATCAAAGTCAAAGCATGAAGTTGTTCAATGTGTTACTTGCCATAAATGACGTTTTTAGAGATTCCGGAAATTAGAGTCTAAAACTGGTGATTGTGCAGTTGCTTCAGATGAGATATGATTCAGTCTAAAAGTTATAATTCCACAGAAAATGAGAATAATAAATATTGGGTTCAAGCAATTCCATATTTTGCCCAAACAATAACTGGTTTGAATCTTATGAAGATTATGGGAGAAGGATGCTATAGCTAGCCTTAGTTGCTGTAAGGTGATTAAGGAGTTCTGCGCATCAGAACGCGTGATGGTTGGTGTAAGACCACATATTGCAAGAATTCGGCTATTTTTTGAACTCAAGAGGAACCTAATTTCTCGGGGTATGTTGGATCAAGAAAGGTATATTTTTAACGCCAAAAACGGTTGCTTGAAGGTGTCTTAAGGGTCTTACAGGGGACAAGGAAAAATGATCTTTATGTTCTTGTTGAAAGAACTGTTATTGGAAGTGTTGATAGCAATCAAGAACATGTTATTGATAAAATCAAGAATTGGCACATGAAACTTGAGCATGCACGTGAGGCTGGTTTACACGAATTTGGCAAGAAAAACCTTCTTTGTGGAGACTAGATAGACTCATTGGGGCTTTGTGAACGAGTCTATGCCAATACCAAAAAAAAAAAAAGAGAATCAAGTTTGGTGTTAGCAAGCACAATACTAAGGAAATTCTTGAATATATTCATTCCTTCTGTGCAGGTCTTCTCGAACATCATCACATGATAATGCCAGATACTTTCTAGCCATCATTGATGTTTTTTTTTTTTAGTAAGTGTTTAGATGTTCATCTTGAAAAATAAAGATGGTACTTTAAACATGTGTAAAGATTGGAAGACTCTTGAAGAATCAAATTGGAAAGAAGGTGAAAACATTAAGAATAGATAATAGTACAGAATTTGTTTCTAAAAAATTCAATCTATTACGTACGAAAGAGAGAGTTACGGGTCTGGCTAACCATATGAACTGAACCATTAGAAAGACATGCATGCTTTTTAATACAGGTTTTCTGAAGTATTATTGTGGAGAAGCTATCGCTACAACATGTTATTTGATCAATCGTAGTCCCTCAACCATTCAATTGAAAACTCTAATAGAGTAGAGTGACAGCGTTTCAGCCGTGTTACAGGCTTGAGAACGCAGGAGAGAAGCAGGAAACAGAGAAAGGGAAAGAAAGGAAAAAGTATTATTCAGTTAACCAAAAGTTACGGTACAGAGGCTTTATATAGGCGAAATAGAAAGTAAAACTAATACAAGAAAGGATTACATAAATAACGGATAAAAGTATTCTAGAAGCCTTAATAGAGTGCCCTAACAGTCCCCCGCAAATTGATCATCCGGTAGACGGATGGTTAATTTGGAACGAAGAATGTTAAAGCGCTTTTCTGATAATGGTTTTGTGAGAATATCGGCGGTCTGATCGGTTGAGCTGATGTGGGAAACGCCGATAGCACCTGATTGAAGATGTCCGCTAATGAAATGATAATCTATTTCAATGTGTTTCGTTCTGGCGTGAAACACGGGATTGTTGGCGAGAGCTATAGCTGAGGTGTTGTCGCAGAAAATCTGAGTAGGGGATGTTTGCGGAAGCTGGAGTTCGGCTAACAGCCGACGAAGCCATAGAACTTCTGAAGTTGCGGCGGATAATGCACGATATTCGGCTTCTGTGGACGATTTGGCAACGGTGATCTGCTTCTTGACTGACCACGAGACAAGATTGTTGCCGAGAAACATACAATGTCCGGAGATGGATTTCCGATCGGTTTGATCGGAAGCCCAATCAGCATCGACGAATGCTTTTAATTGAAAACTGCCTTTTGTAATGTGCATGCCCAGTTGAGAGGTTCCTTTGATATAACGTAGAATCCGCTTGAGACTTTGAAAATGAGATGACGTCGGGCTTTGCATGTGTTGACAAGCGGCGTTTGTGGCAAAGGCTATATCTGGCCTTGTGATTGACAAGTACTAAAGTGAACCAGCAATTTTCCGGTAGAGAGTGGGATCTTCGAACGGAGGCGAATGACTGCGACATTTGGAATTCGGAGTAGCCATGGGCGTCCGGGCGGGCTTGCAATTTTCGAAACCGGAAGTCTGGAGCAGCTTTGTGGCATAATGCGGTTGTGAAAGAAAATAGCCAGTGGATGTTTTGGTCACCTGGATACCCAAAAACAAAGAAATGTCACCGAGTTGTTTTAATTGAAATTCAGAATTTAGTTTTTGGAGAAGAGAGTTGATTATATCTGGATTGTTGCCGGTGACGAGAATATCGTCGACGTAGATTAGGACGAAAATTCTGGAGGTGCCGTTGTTGTAAATGAGTAATGACGGGTCGGCTTTGCTGAAAAAGAATCCAGAAAATTGCAAGAATTTGGTTAGTTTTTGAAACCATTGTCTAGGTGACTGTTTGAGCCCGTAAAGAGATTTGTGAAGTTTGCACACGTGACCTGGATATTGAGCGTCGATGAATCCGGGCGGCTGTTTCATGTATACCTCGTCCGGGAGATCTCCGTGTAAGAACGCATTGGAAACGTCGAGTTGGCGGATGGACCAATTTTGATGAAGAGCGAGAGTGATGAGGATGCGTATTGTAGTCATTTTCGCCACCGGACTAAATGTTTCAGTGTAATTAACACCGAATTCTTGGGAGAACCCTTGTGCCACTAGGCGAGCTTTGTAGCTCGCGACTTGACCGGTGGGTTGAAGCTTAGTTTTATAGGTCCATTTACAGCCTAAAATCTGTTTGCCGGGTGGAGGTGGCACAAGCGACCAGGTTGCCTGTTTTTGTAGGGCCATGTATTCGTTGGACATGGCGGTGCGCCAATGCTCAATTTTAGCCGCTTGAGAATAAGAGGTAGGAGTGGGTTCGGGGCTGCTTGTAGCCAAAAGATTGAGAATCTTTTTAGGACAAGTAATGCCAGATTTAAGTCTAGTTTGCATGGGATGGTGAGGTCGGGAAATAGGAGACGCCGAACTGGTAGTGTGAGTTGTGGAGTGAGATAGACTATCAAAATGAGTTGGAGAAGAGTCGGAAGAAGTATTGCTGGAAGAAGTAGAGGAACTGGAGAGAGTGGGAACGGTGGGCTGAATGTGATTGGAGGAGGGAAGATTGGAAACGGGAACCAAGAGAAGAGGGGAATAAGGATCAGAAACCGGAGTGGGCTTGTGAGGAACGGTGCGAGTCTGAAAAGGAAATTGATTTTCATGAAAAATTACGTGACGAGAAATGTGTAGCTGTTTGGTGGAGAGATTGAGACAACGATACCCTTTGTGACTTGAAGAGTAGCCAAGGAAGAGACATTCTTGAGATCTTGGAGATAATTTATGGGGAGCTTGGGGTTTGAGCCACGGGAAACAAAGGCATCCAAACGTCCGAAGATGATCGTAGGTGGGAGTGCGATGGTGAAGCCGTTGGAACGGAGACTGGAGGTCGATGGCTTTGGAAGGTAGACGGTTAATTATGTAGTTTGCGGTGGAGACGGCCTCAGCCCAAAAGACAATTGGAAGATTTGCGGCGTGAAGGAGAGTGCGGGTCAGATCCAGAAGGTGGCGATGTTTGCGTTCGGCAAGTCCGTTCTGTTCGGGGGTATAAGGGCAGCTGAATTGGTGTTGAATGCCGCGTGAAATAAGAAAATCTCGGAACTGGGTGCTAGTGAATTCACCGCCACCGTCGGAGCGAAACGTTTGTATAGTAGTGTGAAATTGAGTTTGAATTAATTGAATGAAATTTTGAAATTTCGAGAACGTTTCTTGTTTTGAATTCATTAAATAAAGCCATGAAAAGCGAGTAAAATCGTCGATGAAAACGACGTAATATTTATAGCCATTAAAAGAAACTTCGGGAGCGGGACCCCATACGTCCGAATGTATTATTTGAAAAGGAGCAGTACAATTAGATCTAATGGAAGTAAAAGGCATTTTGTGGCTTTTAGCAAGCCTACAGGAAATACAAGTTTGAGAACAGAGATTTTCATTTTGTAAAGCAGGAATGTGTTTCCGAAGAGCAGCCAGAGTTCTTGCATGGGGATGCCCGAGTCTGGCGTGCCAAGAAAAAGTGGGAGAAGTGCTAGTCCGGAGAGCGAAAGACTGATTTGGTGGCGGAACGTGAACATGATAGAGTCCGTCAACATTGCGACCATGAAGAAGAGGCTGGTTGTCCTGAAGATCCTTAATAATGAAGCCGTTAGCATCAAAACATATGGATACATGGTTGTCGGCAGTTAGTTTAGAAATGGACAAAAGGTTATGAGAAAGAGACGGAATGTGAAGAAGATTGTGAAGATAGAGCTTACGAGTGGTGTCCGGGAGCGGAAGAATCCCGTTACCGGTATGATGTACGGGAATGGTGCTGCCATTAGCGATGGAGACGGAGTCGGAGCCGGTGTAGGGGACGGGCTGGCTGAGGTTGGAGGCGTCAAACGTGAGGTGCGAAGTGGCTCCTGAATCTAGAACCCAATCTTGAGTAGACGAGGTGCTGTTCGGTTGGTGAGCGAGGAGAGCGCGGTTGTGGCCAGAAGTGGAGGGAGCGTACTGCATATTGCAGCGATGCCAGCAATTAATCGCAATGTGCCCTGGTTTGGCGCATATTTGGCAGATCGGTTTGGGATTGGAGGAGGAGTTGCTGTTGGGCGGAGTAGGGGTTCTTGCGGAAGATTTGGAAGCAGAATTCTTCCCGCGGAAGTAATTGGAGCGGCCTCTGGAACTGTTCCGAGTGGACAGTAAGGCCATAGAGTCGGAGGAATGACTCGTTTCTTTGAGCTGTTCGTGAGTGAGATTGATCTCCTCACTACATAACAGCGAATAAAGAACGTCAAGATTGATAGGTTGGAGCGAAGTCCTGATGGCGGTCTTGAACGGATTGTAGATGGCGGGTAGACCGTTCAAGATGTACAAGATAATGTCCTCGGTGTCGATCGTAGAGCCAGCCGCTGCGATGTTGTCTACAAGAATCTTTATCTGAGCTAAATACTGCTGCATCGTCTTGTCTTTCATCTGAATATGATGGAGTTCGTTCTTTAGCTGGATGACGCGAGACCGATTTGTTGGTTGTAAGCGCCGTTCGAGTGTGAGCCAGACTTCGTGGGCAGTGGTAAGAGTAAGAACATAAGGAAGCACAGCCGGAGAGATGGTGGAAAGAATGGCAGAAACCAAGTTTCTGTCAATTAATTTCCATAGATGATGATCTTGAACGGAGGAGGCGGGCGGGAGGAATTTTCGCCTGTGAGATGTCCATGAAAGCCGTTGGCGGAGAAATGTTGCTGCATCTGGAGTCGCCATATGGCATAGTTGTCGTTTGTGAGGATGTTGGGAACCAAATTCTTGAGATTTGAGATCAAGAATTTGAGAGGGGGTGGAACCGTGAATTCGGCGAGAGTGGCCGATAGACCTGAGTTCGCCGGATGGGAGGATGCCGAAGCTTGATCGGCCATTTGAGGGGGAGGTTGCGGTTGAGCAGATTGCTCTGATACCATGACAGCGTTTCAGCCGTGTTACAGGCTTGAGAACGCAGGAGAGAAGCAGGAAACAGAGAAAGGGAAAGAAAGGAAAAAGTATTATTCAGTTAACCAAAAGTTACGGTACAGAGGCTTTATATAGGCGAAATAGAAAGTAAAACTAATACAAGAAAGGATTACATAAATAACGGATAAAAGTATTCTAGAAGCCTTAATAGAGTGCCCTAACATAGAGGTCCAGAAAACCTGCAGAATATCATCACTTAATATTGTCTGGATGCAATTGCAGACAATCATTACAAACATGATAAGTTGGGTCCAGAACACTCAACTGTGTGTTTATTGCTTATCCTAATGGGGTGAAAGGATAAAAACTGGCCATAGAAATGTTTTACAAACGAAGATGTAGTGTTCAACGAGTCAAAAATGTCCAAACTAACAAAGATTAATGATGATTGGTAACTTAGACGACGACGACAACAAAAAGCCTTTTTTTTTCTCCACCGAGTCCTATTGAGAGTTGCAATAACTTAGAAAATGAAAGACAAAATCGCTGATTCGAGGAAGAGCTATCTAATAAAAAAATAGGACTCTTGATGCAGAATCAACAAATATTTTGAAACAGAAGCTGGTGATGATAGAGAAGATATGAATTTGTAAACATACGATTTGGCTCATGACAGGCACCGAGGTCACCACAGCATTTTGGTTAATAAGCAGAGATGATGTCTTATGCTCTTGCAATCACTAAATAGATTAAGGAATATGATTGAAAAGCTGCGATGAAAATGTAAACAGTTAAGATTGCACTTTATGAACAAAGTCAATGAGAGAGAAAATAATTTCACTTGAGAAGAACAAAACATGGGTGCTTGTCCATAAAACCAAGAAAGCAAAGTTAGTGGGAAGCTACAGGATTTCCAAACATAAAGAAGATATTCCTGACATTAAACCAACTAGCTACAAGGCAAGATTAAGATTAGTAGCTAAAGGATTTACACAAAGAGGAGTTGATTTTAATGAAATTTTCTCACGGGTTGTGAAGCATCGATCAATTTATTTAAAATATAATATGGAATCAGAAAACTTGGAGTCAATACAACATTTTTACATGGGAACTTGGAAGAGATTAATACATGCAAACTCCAAGTGGCTTCAAGAAAGTGAAGACCGGAAACAAGGTATGCTCGCTGAAGAAACCTTTACAACAAAGTCCTGTGCAATGGTATAAACATTTAGATGAACATGTGATGTTATTGATTTTAGCAGATGCAATTTAAATAGTTCTATATTAAGAGCAAAGGAATGATACTTCTTTATCCTTTGTTTAAGGTTGACGATCTGGGATTGAATATTAAATAGGAGAAAGAAAGGCCACGTTATTCTATACTCTATTTCAAATTAGTTGATCTTCTAGAAACTTTTTGTGGTTTTGGAATCTGCTTGGATCAAATCATTTAAAGCATAGTCTTATTCAGTGCTAGCTGTTTTTGTGTATTTCAACTCTCTCTTGCGGTCTTTCATCATCGGTTTTGTTCCTCCTTGGTGTCCTATGAGGATAGCAAAAATAAAACAATATTGAATTAAAAAAATAACAAAAATTTAACTAACATTCCTATTTTAAGGATCCACCCCAAATATATTTTTATCTAAATATCTCTAGCTTATGCATCACTCTAGGATGTCTAAGGTACCATTCATGCAGTTTTGCAAATATTTGATATTTTTCTTCTAGTTTTGAATTTTATTTACCTTATGCTGTTGATTATGCTTTCGTTAATATGGTTTGGAATGGAAGACCGCAGTAAGCTTAGACATATCTTACAACGAAAATAATAAATAAATAAACCATGCACATTGCACAACCCTCTGCAATAACCTCTCTCACACACAAAACAGGACCCCGATTCTCCAGAATGACCACGGAAACAAGGAATTGCCCCATTCAAACTTCATAATTTTCGCTGAAGGTTAGGATTAATCTCTTAATCTTTTCCTTCAAATCCATTAATCTTGAGAAAATCAAATCAAATTAACCCAAAATGAGTTGAGCCATTGGCATGCAGTTTACTTTTGCAATTACTAGGATGATTGGAAATGATCTGAATCTAAAGTTATAACCCCTCACACACAAAAATCATCCATCAGAGTTGTACATTACAAGTCAACATTCAAGAGAATGTGAACAAGATAGGAGTGAAAAAAATAAACGGTAGGAGATTAATGATACATCATAATAAATTACTGGAAGACTGACGCAATAAACAGAAGATCGCCATTTGTGGAGATCTAAAGGCAAAAAGGAACCAAAACTGCCACCAATAGTTCATTGAAGGAAGAATTAAAATTCTTACAAGTGAGGAACTACCATTTACAGTCTGATCTATTCTCATCTGAAAACATACTGGATATCAGAATTCTCTCGCAACCATTCAAGAACCTTCGCTCCCTCGAGGACATCCTGCACCTACATAATCAGTAAAAAAAATGGTGGTTTTTAGTTGGATATTAAGTATCAACTATAGAGACGTGCCTGAAATTCTATTTCAATAAATTTAAGGGGCACATTAGATATTTCAGTTAAATCATGAAAATTGCATAGAGGTGCCACAAAAAATCTCTTGAATGTATCTTACAAAGCATTGTCATGGATCTTTATGAACATATGTCCATATATATAAACATTTAGATATGGTTGTGGTTGTGGTTGTGATTGTGTTCATGTTTGTGCGTGAGTGTAAGAGAGAAAGTGGGAGAGAGAGCGAGAGATGCATGCGCACATGCAAAATTCATCAATCAATACCAGACTTACTATCTCCTATACAATTCATACCAACTATAGGGTTCTTAGCATCAAGAACTTAATCGATCTAAAATAAAGTTAATATGCAAGAGTATTAACTGAAGTTTCAATACCAGTTCCACAACAATTCATCTAAGCATAACGTTTATAACATCAAGAGCTCAATTAATCTAGAATAAAATTAATATGCACGAATATTAGCAGATGCACATAAGCACCTGCTGTCTGACATTTGCTTCATCATACTCTTGATTATGGCGCTTGAACTCCTCCACGGAATTCTCAACCTCTTTGACTAGTTCGTCAGTTGAGTACTGCAGCAGTTTCAAGAGTCAGCATTAGAATTTAGTTTCATATTGCTCCTGCATGGAATGATATATCTTCCAGGCAGAGAGCATGGGTATCTGTTTTGTCTTTTATATACACAATGCATGCAACTTATCAAAGATAGGGTTACCATAAAGCCAAACTAATTTATACCTCAAGATTTTCACATTGGAAAATTTCACCAACCGCCAACATCTGTTTTATTATACTAGTTATATTCTCCTTTTGGTTCTCAAGATACTCATTTACCGCCTTTTCACTTGAAAGAGATGACAGTTGTTGTTCGTTAACTTTCCTCCCAGCCTGTGCAAAGGGAAAATTAGAAAATTAATCACAAAAAATACAATATAAAGTTTATCCATTACCTGAAGTTGCAGAAGTCTGGCTCCATAAAGCTGTCTTCCTTGCTCTTCAAATAAGGATTGAGGTATATCCACTTCAACAATCTAACGTTACCATGTGAATACATACAATTGAGAAAAAAAAAAAAACTTAACAGAAGAAGAAAAGGAGAGAAAGCGATAATGCTATTTCCGTCGGCCATGTGCAAATGAGTTTAGGCAAGATGTAAAAAAAATAAAAAATAAAAAATAAAAAAAAATAATAAAAAAAAAGTTTAGACAAAGATGCTAGACTGTAAAATTGCGTTGCCATATATCTTGTCCTCAGTTTTGAGTACTCAAATCTATTTGTTTCTGCCAAAAAAATGTGGCATACCTTAGACAGTTGTTCTAGAATTGCATTATCAGTTGCTTGTTCAATTGCAGTTTGTTCTACTTCTCTGCATCTTTGTAGTATTGATTCCCGCACCTAGGCATTGCATCAGAAAGAATTCATTTGTTAAATATCAAAACATAAACATATTTATATGCATTACTACACGCTGTATTGCCTCAGCGCTGAATTTGGCAGCATGAATGCAACTTTTCGCATACAAACTGCGTTATAAAGGACGTATGTGTTAAGGAGGGACCTGACTCAAACTACTGCATCCAGGAAAGAGCTTTTCTGCAAGAGAGTCATCCAGTTTAGGTAGATCTCTATAGAATAGTTCTTTGCACTCCACCTATTTATTCGAAAAGCTTGACAAACAAATCAATCGATGGACCATTATGCATTGATAATGTGCAAAAAAATGCATGAAGAAAGAATAAAAAAAGTAGTAAAAGGTCAGAACCAAGTTCCCCATCCCCAAGTGATTTTCCTTGTTGTTTAGCAAATGAAATACAATGTTATAATAACTGATTTACGAAATGAGTATGGTTGATAGTTATTGCCTTTGACCGAAGTAGAGAAAAAATAATGCACACCAAATAAATAAAACTCAATAAATCTATATGCAAAAATGACAACATTCTTCTCAATAAACAAACACTAAATTGGATTGAAATTATTTATATCACTATCTTGCAAGTAGTTTATATGCAAGTTTTTAGACACAGTGAATTTTTTTCATAACACGGCCTTGTTGGTTTACGTTTGCGTTATTTTACCGAAGATAAATAGAACTCTATAAACAAACACTAAATTAAGGATTGGTTTGTGTGCAGGATTGATATTTCACCGAAGATATTGCATTCTAATTTTCATATGAATCCTAATAACTGTAGAAATTTATATGCATTTTCAGATTTCGAGTACTATTTTAGATTATGCCAATTTTTACATAATCATTTAGAATGAATTAAGCGTGTTTTCAGATTTGCATAAAAAAAGGAACGATCTTTGCTTGATATGAAAAATTGAAAATCTATGACTTGTAATCTTTTTGTGTTTTTTTGCGCATCTTTATCATAGGTTTGGATTATCAATACCTTAGACACCAAGCTATCCTACATTAGGATTAGGGCAAATTATTGGGTCAGGTGACCGAACGCAGAGATAGGTTCGGATAATAATAAAATATTATTTTAAAATTAGCGCAACTAAAGCGCAACTAAAGCGCAACCAAAGCGCAACTAAAGCGCAACCAAAGCGCAACCAAAGCGCAACCAAAGCGCAACTAAAGCGCAAGTCAAAAAGCGCAACTAAAGCGCAAGGTGACGCGGCAAATTTTTATTGGCTGTCCGAACTTATCTTTTGGCTCCGGTCACCTGACCCAATAATTTGCCCTACATTAGAAGGAAATGCGACTACATTTTAAAGCAGTAGAGTAAAAAAAAATATAATTGGATGTATTTAAAAAGCTAGAGAAAAATGAAACTCACAGTAAATTGAGCCTGAACGCCACAGAGATTTACTTGTTCCCATGATTCTGGAAACTGAAGAGAAAATGATTTTGTTTCGCCTTGCCTAATTCCTAGTATTGAATTAAGAAACCCAGGAAGGAGGTTGTCACTCTCTTCTGTGTCCAAGTGAAACCCTGGAAAACATATCATTTAAGTGCTATCCTGAGGAGTTGTACAAATAATCTTATAGAAGAATAATAAAAAAAAATCTAAAGGGCACCTCTCCTATGAAAAAAAAAAGTATGAGAAAATCAATCTGTATTCAAAGAATCCATAATAACATTAAAAAGGGACTTCAAATTTCCCCAAGCTAAAATCTGAACTATCCAATTTAAACTTCATCAATTCAAAATCGAATCTACAATGTTGAATTTTATGTTTAAAATATAACTTCAGATATTTATAAAAAAAGAATCTGCTCTTGATGATAAATTCATGTTGATATCTTTGTGATTAACTATGATGTATTGTGGGTCAAGCCCATAAAGTGTTAAGATAAAAGTCGGAGCGAGTGACGGTGTTATAAGGCTACTAAATTTCCTCCTTCCACCTCAGCACACGGCCTATTTTACTGTTCCAGAACTAAACTCCAGATTTCATAAGTCTTCCACCTAAATTTAATAAAATAAAATTATTTTGAATTCCTTCTATTTTCTAGAAAATATATATAAAAAAAAACATTCAGCCAATCTATGATAAGAAAGATTTAGGCTACTAAAGACCAAGAGCTAGATTTGCCTATGCTACGTACTCGGGGCAATCGACATAAGAATAGTTGGCAAACTCGTGCCAATGTAATATCATAATGAGTCTAATTCACATCCATAGAAACTTGGCTAATAAGAAAGAATAATATGCATAACAGCCCTTAAATTCAGGTCGAGCAATCTCGCCTACAAGGTGAGATTTCCCTTTGTCTTCCAAAGTCACAACCTGATCCATTGGCTTAAATAACGAGGCGGAAACATATGGTAAGACAATTATTAAAAATTTTGCTTGCTAACTAATTATTTTCAATACACTGAAAAAATCACTAAAACCTCAACTGCATTTTAATGAAAAAAACTTTACTATAACTATTTTAAAAAATATTTTTCTCTCGAAGAGTAGCATCTATGATACACGTTCTCTCATCTTCCATTTATTTAAATTATTTGAAAAATACCTATGAACATTTGCGGATATAAGAGTAAGTCGTAACATAATTTACAGAGTACGATATGCTTTTAAATTACAGTAGTTCAAGTTATTTTGCTCAACATGCATGTTTGTTGTAAAATATAAATTAATTTTATTTATTAACATTTAAATTTGGAAACAACCATCAATCATATTTTATGCATATATGTAATACCTATAACATATAATAATATTTTCTCTCTAATGCAACAGTCACAATTATATTACGTCATATTTTCTGTCTAATACAATCGTCACAGAAGACAATCTAAATAATACCAACGAAGGTACTTCCATTTCCATTTCATTTTCCATAACCATTTTCATTTCATGGGCGTGGCTATATTGCATCCCCATTCATCACTATAAGGGGGTTTACTCCATCAATCAACATGCACATACAAACAGTCATATATAATCATTTCATTCATATATCATTCTTGAACTTTCTATAGTATATCTAATGAATTATCAAGCTAAAAAACAAAAACTTCGGTACCACCATTTATTGAAATTTTAAAAATAAATAATGTTGGGATTTTACATAAATCATTAACTAAAAAGTGTCAATTTATTAAATGCAATCAGATTAGAGAAAACAAAGTTATTACCGTAAAAGTAGGAGCATGAGTCCTCACCTCAAAGTCACATGTTTTGATGTTTCACTCTCACTCTTTACTCCGATGTCGATAGACCTATATAAGAGACTTTCTTACTGTTAAAATTTTAAATGATGATATAAATATACACCATTAATTATTTTTCATTAATAATAAGCATATCCTTGAAAACTAATCATCATCATTTTTAATTAGAAAACATTAATTAAAATTTTAATATTTTTTAATTTAATTAACATATTAAATTTAAAATCATAGTTTTAATGTGTATGTATATACATTTAAGATATTAACAATTTTATTTAAGTAAAATTAAACTTTAATAACTTTATAAATTTCATCTCTAATTTCTATATATTGGCTTTTAAAACCTTACAAATATTAAAAAAAAAAAGTAAATAAAAGAAATTGTTAAATTCTTACCTATTTTCTAATCCCACTTTCCCAATCGTCGGAAACCTCAACTCTTTTCATCCAAGTTTGCTTGAGATTTGCAAGTAACAAAAGCTCGCTCATCTCTCACGCACTATTCCTCCCCCATGCTCGGTTGCCCTCGCCTCGATCTTCCTCTTCGATTCCCCCTCATCTCACACTAATTTATATGAATAAAACCCCTTTCAACTTCCTCGAAACCAAGCTACCACCTCTCCACTTCCTTGACATTATGCAATGGAACCGACAACTTATTCGCCTCCCTTAGCAACTCAAAATGACAGAATCGATCCCCCTCATCCTCCTCGACCCCAGGTGACAAAACGAACTCCTTCGTCCCCTTCATCTTCTTTGTATGAGAATAAACTAACGCTTGGTTCAAATTTAGTTGAATCGACTATAACTGATTTGAAGTTCATCTTCGTATTCTCTCAATACCACGCGACAAATGTCCTTCGTTTTCCCCGACATCTGGCAGCGAATTGACTATAGTCGGTTCAGTAAGTTCAGGATATTACAATATTCCCCACTTATAAAAATTTCATCCTCAAACTTTACATATGACTTCTAGTTACAGTTAGCCAATATAAGTTAAATAAAACATAGCTATGACATCTTAATTTCATTCAACATAATTTTTAACATCAAATACATCACTAGTAAAACATTTAATATAATATCACTAGTTACTAAGCATTAATTATTACAATCATCTATCTCAAATAACTTAATAAACATCAACACATTCCTGGGTCTTGCCGAGTCAAAGCATAAACCAGTGGTCGAACATTCTGTCTTGGTTGATTTTGTGATGGAGCTGAAGTTGTCGATTATATCATCTTCTATTTACCAAAACTCTTATGTGTGGGTTATTCACCTAAAATCATCTCTCTTGAAATCTTCTGATCAATTGTAGGGTAAAATTTTGTTATATGCCCCGACTAATGACACCAGTTGCGATAGAGTTCATGAGGCATTCACCCTTATGGAACCTTCCACATTTAACAAATGCTTCCATAACTTTATGGAAACACCACCGCTAATTCTACTAGGGCTGAACTTCGGCTTATTCCCATTTGATCCTTTAGATTGATTATTGCGCACATCTTCTTCAGCATTCTTCCTTTTATGCTAATATTTTTACTTCTAAGTGATTTAAAAGTCAATCTCCACCCTTATAGCTCTCTCAACCAATACTAAATAGTTATTGATTCCTAAAGGTACTAAGGGTTGCCTAATTGCATCTTTTAAACAAGATAACAATCGAGGACATTTCTTCTCTATAGTCGCTAGCAACTGCGATATATATCTCGATAGAGTTATAAATTGTGCTTCATATTGCATCACTGATTTTTTCTCCTTGCAGCAATCTTATGAATTTGTCTTGCAGCTGCCTCCTCATAAAAATATATACGAAGCATTCTCTAAAATGTTCCACAAGTATTCCTAGTTGACCAATATATTGAGGATGTCACCATTGTACTTCTCCATCTAAGGTAAATGCAGCGAGTGACACTTTCCTCTTACCAAGCCATGACATGCAATCAAATATCTTCTTTTTTTATTCCAAACAACCAATTATCTACCTCAATCAATTCCAAATTACCCTTAAATAGGGTGGTCGCAAGTCCTATATAATAACTTTAGATATTTATCCATTTCAATTCCAGTTCACAATATGGATTCTTGAAGCAGATGGGTCATAGCTGCCATCATCTAGGTAAAGATATTGGTGTTTACTATCACCTCATGTGGTACTTCTTGTCCTATCATATTTTTATCAGTTATATCCTCTTGATCATCCATATATATGATATATATAGGAATGTTAACATATTATTTAGTCAGATCTCTAAATTTTGCACATTTTTTCCATTAATCATTCCTATAGCTCTTTTATCATGATTTATATTCTTAAGATAGTTATTGACCTCTGATACCACTTTTGTCATGACCCGACACGAATGCTTGAATTAACAAGGCAAAAATAGATGGTCGGACGATTATTTAAAATTTTGTTTAATAACTATTTGAAAGAACCACTAAAATCTCAATTGCATATTAATAAAAAGAATACTGTAACTATTTTAATAAGTACCTTTCTCTCGACGAGTCGCGCCTCAATAAACATTCTCTCCTCTATCACTCATTTAAATTATTTGAATAATACCTATAAACGATTGCAGATTTAGGAGCATCATAACATATTTCACTGAGTATGTGATACTTCTAAATTATAGCAATGCATGATATTTTGCTCAACATGCTTGCTTGTTGTAAAATATAAAGTAAATTTATTTAATAACATTTATATTTTGAAAATGATCATTAATCATATTTTATGCATACATTTAATACATATATCATGTCATAATATTTTCTAACTAATATAATTATCATAGAAGACACCGTCAAAATAGTATCAATGAAAGTACTTTCATTTTCATTTCATTTTCCCCTTCCTGCGCTTGGGTATATTGCATTCCTAGCCAATATCATAAGGGAGTAAACTCCATTAATCAATATGCACATACAAGCATTCCTAAATAGTCATTTTATTAATATATCATTCAAGAACTTTCTATTTTACATTAAACAAAAACTTCAATATGACTATTTATTAAAATTTAAAAATAAATAGTGATGAAATTTTACAATAATCATTAACTAACAAGTGTCAAATGATTCAATGCAATCAAATTAGAGAAAACAAAGTTATTACTGTCAAAATACAAACATGAGTACTCACCCCGAATTTAGATATTTTAATGTTTCACTCTTGCTCCTTATTCCAACGTCGATAGATTTAACACCTATATAAAAGACTTTCTTGCCGTCATAATTTTTAATGACGAGTTACTTGTAAATTCTCTAATTGGATATTTAAATTTTTCTCCTTTTAAATATAGTTTATTTCCTAATATAATATTCGCAAGTCACAAAAGCTCGTTCTTCTCTCATGCACTATTCCTCCCTCATGCTCGGTCACCCTTGCCTCAATCTTCCTCTTCAATTCCCCCTCGTCTCATACTAATTTATAGGAATAAAACCCCTTTCTTCTTCCTCAAAAACAAGCTACCACCACTCCACCCTCGACACTAGGCAACTGAACCGACAACTAGTTAGTTTCCCTTCGTAACTCTTAACAATGAAATCGATCCCCTTCATTCTCCTTGACTCCAAGTGATAGAACGAACTCCCTCGTCCCCTTTGTCTTCTTTGTATGAGAATGAACCAACACTTGGTTAGAATGTAGTTGAATCACTTACGACCTCCCTAATGATCTAAATTCATATGATGCTCAACAGTTTGGTTCCAAACATCTCTTCTTTTTACAACTCATTGAATTGTAAAATGATAGACTTCTCTAACCATCCAAGGCCAACTCCCCTCCTCTTTTGTTATCCCTATCTTTGTGCATAGCTCTCTTAGTACTCTTGTGTTAGGCTTACCTTTTCTTCCTCGATTATTTAACTTTCTCCAAGAAGAAAATGCCTTCATATTCTAAGCCTAAGTTTCCTTGGCCATCATAGTGTGATTGCAAGTCTTCTCATCGAGAACCCTACATTGCCTCCTAAACCTATTATTAAGCTGAACCATACACTCATAGCCTATGGTGGGGCTCATTGGTCCTATCTTTGGATGATATTCTAATTCAATGGCATCCATGAATTCCTCCAATGGAGGATCCCAATCTCCAAAGCCTAAGTTTCCTTTATCACCTCAGTTCAGCTAGATTAACATGAACATTACCGAATAATTGAGAGTGCTTTTCGGTATCGCACATGGAATATAACTAATAATGGGAACTTGCACCCATTAAAAAACTCGATGCTCCATAACTAAATAAACTATGTTCAACCTCTTATACCATTCGGTGTCTTTACATTCCATTGACTGTCACATGGAGTTTGTTTATTTTCCAATAAAATTGCAATAATCATTTTTCAGTGTGAGGCCCATTAAAAGCCCACATATGTGTTTTTATTATATCGATAATAACATAATTTGGAACTTGATATATTACAAGAAATGCTCAAATTAAGTCCAACAAGCTAATGTGCACTTGGAGCATATACATTTTTATTAGTTTGTTATAGAATAGACAATGTGATTAGCATTATTATGCCTAATAACAGAGAAATGTAGTTTGTAATGATTATCATGAATAACAAGTAAATTGAACAGCCCTAAAACCAATGAAAATTACTCTCAAGCTATGAGTATAAATTATAAGCTAAAACTCCGTGTTGAAATGGGAATAAATCTCCCCCAATCATAAGCATAGAGATTATTTATAACAATCCTGTCGAACAAGCAAGTTTTAAGAATTAATAATGCAGCAAATCAGAATATAGCTATACTTTCTTCTCGACGCCTCCCAGAAGTTGTTTTCAATAATAAAACTCATACCATACAAAGTAAATATTAGCATCAAAATCAAAGTAAAGAAAGTTTGAAGAGTAGTTTGCCATGAAAATCATATGGCTATTTTCAACAATAGACAAAAAAAAAAAAAGATAATGATGGCATTTAACTAAATGGTAGCAGTGTATCCAAAAGCAAACAAACCTTTTCTCTCTGCTGATGGAATTTTTTCACCTATAGACAAATCTCCTTCAATTCTAGCAGCCAAAATATCTAGCACCACAAGATCTCCCATCTAGTGAAAATCAAAACAGATCTAGTGAAAATCAAAACAGTATTAACTCAGTAGCAAGATATGTCACCCCTTTACCTGTTATCTTATCGGTTATACTTAAATTAAAATGGATCAAAAGAGCTTCCAAATGCAGAAACATATATAGATACAGAAAATCAGCAAGCGAACAGACCTTATAATACTTAAATCTTCCAATATATTCAGCACTGAGGACAATGGGGACCCAAAAGAAATCAGATACTCAACCGGCTTCTTCAACAAATAGGCCAGCTATGAAATTGATGTTGGAAGAAATTTCTTAAAGATAGCATCAAAATTCCAAAAAGTTTCTATTGAACTGACTGATTAAACATAATATCCTAATTCCTATGAACAAAAGAGAATAAGAAAATTATTTATCTCGTACTATACATTAAATAAGTTTATTTGGCAAATAAAAAATCAAATGAAGAAATATGGCGAATCTAAGGAATCATCAAGCACGTTCCTAATTAAAAAAAAAATACCTGAAGACCTCTATCAGTTACAATTCTCAAAGATCCTTGGGCCTTATAGCGGCGCTTGAACTCTATTTCAGAAGCTATTTCAGCAGTAATAGTCTTGTCAATTTGAACAATGATCTTCAAATTCTTATACTTGGCTTCCGCCAACCATTTGATCTCAGGAACTACATCAACTAAAACATCATATCTAGAAGCCAGCAAAACCAAGAAAAACAAATATAATAAGAAAAAGAAGCCAGTTAAATCATACAAAAAATTGATTGCATGATTGCTAAAGATTAGCAGACAACCTGTGCTTTCCTTTACAGTTATAAACAAAATTCAAGCCTTCCCTAACTAAAAAAATGGCACGTATCAGTCATATCGAAAATGTAACTATCAAAAGTTTGAACGGTTTATATTAGGTACAAGTTGAGTATTCTCCAGTCAGGATTTCATTAGCAAATTTATCATTAAATTGGTATCAGTATCTAATTTTCTTTTTAAGTTGAAAGGAACCTTTTATCAAAAGAAAGCAACATTCGTCCATTATTTACAAAAAGAGATCTTATAAACTATTGCATTTAACTGGAATTAGTGTCTAATTACCTTTTGAAGTTGAAAGGAACCTTTTACCATACGGCAAAAATTCCTTCATATATTATTTATTAAAACGTGTTCTTTATAAAGTTATAGTATTCAATCCGTCCAGTGGTCCTAAAGAACATGTCTTAATCATGTCCTATAGTTCTGTCATCCAAAGCCTATTAATGTTGGTTTCAACTTTTGCAATCAGAAACCAGTGATATGAAACCTTTTAAAAGCCATGAGTTCCTCATCCAAGGAGCTTCTCAAAAAACATTTATTGAAGGGTGAAATCTCTGGGTATTTGTTATGCGTGGAAGCAGCAGTCTAACTCAGACCGGCCAAACCAGGGAGAGTGGAAGCCAACCGGTAGGGAGAGGATTTCGGTCACTCTTGTGGGGCCTAGGAAAGTTAATATTCATTATGTAAGGAGGAGAAATCAGGGTAAAAATATTTAGGAAGATTTTTATTGTGTTTAATGAGGGTTATGGCTATTTAAAAGGGGGATATTGGCTAGGGTTAGGTGATGTTATGTTGCTGTAGTTTTTTTGGATTTGTGAGTTTCCTAGCAGCGGCTATGGTTTATGGGAGAGCCGATCTACCTCTTAAATAGCAGATCAATTGTATCTTGCATTATTATTGAAGAAGGAATCAAAAATCAGCCATTATATTCATATTCCTGCAGGTTCCACTTAGTTCCTTTGGTATTTTTACTTCAAAGACGTATCAAATTGATATCAGAAAGAGTTTTTGGAAAGATGGTAGTAGAGAAGGTGGATGCATTGGAAGGCGAAGTGGAGCAAATCAATTCTAGGATGGGAGAAATTCTCAACCATCGAAGGGAGTTTTTCAATCATGTAAGGAAGGTTTTCAACCATGGAGAATTGATTTGGAGGGATGGAGGAAATGATGATGAAGCTCATTGAGATGTAATATAAAACTCCACCGACAGTTCTGATTGCTAATCCTAACTACGATTTGACTAGGATTTCCTTGACTGAATCTAATGGAAAAGAGATCAGACGAGAAAAGTTTGATGAGAAGAGTTTCTTCCATCAATAGACATATCCTAGGGCTCTAATAAGGAGCATAACAGGGTTTCTTGATGGGGGGATAGCAGGAAGAGAGTTTTATGGCGGGGTGGCAGGAGGCTCTTACCTGAAGTATCTCGACTTCACTAGCACTGAGAACCTAGGCGGTGTCATTTCAGTGGGAGACACCGAGGGAGAATAGTGGGGAAGTTTGCCCCGAGACCAATTTCAAGCGTCTCACAGAGGCGGAGGTATAAGATAAGAGAGCGAAGGTTCTGTGATTTTGCTGTGATGAGAAATATGCACCATACCATCGATACAAGGATCACACACTCCACGTCCTTATGGTTTGTGAGGAGGAGACCGACAATAAGGATCTGGTGGGGGAAGCAAAAGGAGGGGAGCCCTTACACCCAAATGTAGTAGAAGTGTCCCTAAATTCAATGGTGGTATTTACTTCAAATCACACCATAAAGGTGAAGAGAATAGACCAGAGAGCAACCAATAGTGCTCTTGGTGAATAGTTGGGACTTCGTCTCCACTCAGGTCATGGACTAGTTGGGATTGAAATTGATAGATACAGGGAACTTTGAAGTCATGATGGGAACAAAAAAGGTGGAGAGTAGTAAGGGAATTTGCAAGAGGTTGTTGCTAACCTTCCAGGGCATATAAATAGTGGAGGATTTTCTTTCCTTGGATTTGGAGAGCACTGATGTGATCCTAGGATGAAGTGGTTACAAACGATCGGGGAGACAAAGGTGGACTATAAATATTTGACTATGGAAGGGGAGCTTTAGAGGCAATATAGGGAGCATAGCTGGGCTACTTGGTGGAGCTATAGAGCTTAGATGGGTCCGAGATTTAGAGTTAGTCGAGGTCCCTGAGTATGTACATTAGCTTTTGCACCAGTTTCTTGAAATTTTTTAGTAGCCCAACGGATTGCTGCAACCTCGAGAGCACGAGCACGCTATTACCTTGAAGAAATTCCCGCCCATGGTTGGTGAGCCGGCTCGAGCTCGTTTACAGTGAGACGAGCTCGAGTTCGAGCTCGCTTTCCATGTAACGAGCCGAGCTCGATAAGGGCCTAAACTCGACTCGACTCGACTCGTTTACACCCCTACTTAGGGTAGCACAAAGATTTTAGTTAGATAGGTCTTATTGCTTCATTAGAAGTTGTCTAATGATTGATTTTACGACCTATCCCTGTAAGCTAAGTGGCCCGAGTTGTGGGTCTTACAACCAAGCCCTATAGACTAGGATGCCCGTGTGAGGAGTCTAGGGTTGTATTATCACTTAAACATTTCCCTCAAAGGTCGGACTTATGACTTCTATTAGAAGTGACCAGTGTTTTAATTAGGGGTTAGGAGTTAGGTCAATTTTTACCTAAAACTTTCCCCTAAGGTCAGACTTACGACTTTTCCCTTGAAAGTTGCCGGATGGTTGGTCTTACAACCAAGTTCTTATAAACAAGGTTGCCCAAAAGTTTAGAATTTAATTGTGTTTGTTGAGTTGACACTAGTGTTTTGAGAGGTTTGACACTTGCGTTAGTGTTTTAGTTGTTCTGTATTCGTAACCTTTTTCCTACTATATTAATCCACTGCTCCCTCATTTTTTCAGTACTGTTGCTCTACTAGTTTTTCAGTACTTAGCTTTTCTTGCTTTCTAATACTTTGCTTTATTAGTAGTGGCTTAGATTTATCAACATTCATTCAATTTATTTATGATGTACTAACTCTTTATTTGTTTATTTGCAGGTATTCGTAGCCAATAGTTGCAATAGTTGGGGGGCTTGCAATTGTAGAGGATAGAGTCCACAAGTAGCTGTAGGAGCTTGTACAGGAGGGATCTTTGGAGAATTTTATGGAGGTTCTGAGAGTTGTATTGATTTGAGAGTTGTTTTGAGTTGAAAATTATTGGAGAGTTTGTGAGGATTGGAGCAATTTGTCCAAGGGATTTGGGGAGTTTGAGAGTTTTGGAGAGTTGACAATCAATGTTGTATATATTATTTAGTGAAAACTTCTCTCCCCCCTCCTTTTATTTATTGCATTTTTATTTTAAGATTTCTCATTTGATTAATTAAATAATTAACTAATAAATCAATTCTAAATTTCACTGCTCTCAAATTTTTTAAAATAACTCTCGGATTTTAAAATTTTTAGAATTTAAAATTTTTAGAATTTAAAATTCTCAAAAATTTGAAATGCTCTTATATTTTAAAAAGCTCCTGAATTTTATATAATTAAATTAATTTTGAAATGATTTATCACAATCTATGCTACCTCGATAACTAGAGGGAGAGAGATAATGTTTTGATAGTTAGAGATTTCTAACATTTCAAGAGGAATAACATTTGAAATATTACAAAAATTCAAAATCTTCCACTTAATGTTACTTGAGTTAGAATCTCTTAAAGAGGGTCCTCATTTAGAGACGGTCGAAACAATCTCATTTAAAGATATTCGTAGCAGTCTTTGGAATGAAATGATAACATATAAGTAGCTCTCATTCATGCGGGATGACATTTGAGAGAATGATGAGAAGCAGGATAAAAACAATGGAAGAATACACTCGCCCTTTTATTCTTATCAAAATTTTTAGTAATAAGCTCTTAGTAACGATTCAAATAAGCGTACTTTTAATGATGATTGCAAAGGTTTTTAAAAGAAGAAAATATTTAGATTTAGAGGGACTAGAGGAGAATGAGTGTTCACAGGTTCTCCGCTCTCATGCATTTGACGATATAGGAGACTTTAAAGATCTCAATTAGTCAATTATTTTGATTGATCCTAATTAATTAATTGTTATTAAACATAAACATTAATTAACTAAGTTAGTTAATTAATATTTAAAAATCAAATTTCACATTTTAGTCGAATCAACATTCGATTGAATTTCCTTCTAAATTTTGAGAAAATTTCGGCAACCTCCCGACGTCGCCTCCTCACCGAGGGAGAAATCGGGACGGCGTCTGCTGAAATTTCTTCCTACCCGAACCTAAGGTCAATGGCGTAGGGTTTTCAAATTAAAATCATCCCACCAGGATCTAAGATCGACTGCGTGTGGTCTTCAAATTTTGTTTCATCCCGCCCAAATCTACGATCAATGGCACGGGGGCTTCGAATTTAAAACCATCCGCCTGGATCTAAGATCACGGCGCGGGTCTTCGAATTTTAAACTACCCCGGCCAGACCTAAGGTACAACGGCCCAAGGTCTTCGACACTTGCTTGAAAGTTCTCTTATATATATATATATATATATATACATAAAAAAAGAGTTGGTTCGAGTAGGATCCAGTTCGGCTAAGTTAGTCGTCGAAGGAATTTAGTCGAATAATCACAAAAGAGTCGAGGAAACGACTCTTATAATCTCTATATATCTTGTAAAGCAACGAAGTCGCATAGCAACAAGGGGCCGAAGAAGCTACCCATGCAATCTCTCCTCCTGCGAAGAGGCAAAGTCAGACAACAAAGATGGAGCCGAAGTCGAGCAGCAACGAGCGAGCCAAAGTCAAACAGCAACGAGCGAGCCAAAGTCAAACAGCAAGGGGGAAGCCGAAGGAGTGTCGCGTGCAACTTCTATGCCTCTTGCGAAGTGACGAGGTCGGACAAAAAGGAAGGAGCGGCGCGTGTGGCCTTTACGAACTGAAGCTGAACAACGACGATGGAGCAGAAGGAGCGATGCGTGCAATCTCTTCGCTTCTTGCAAAGAAACAAAGCCGAACAACAACGATGAAAAGAGAAGATGAAAGGCGAACCCTATACACCTCCTGCGAAGCAAGGAAATCGAACAGGAACGACGGAGTCGAAGGAGCGAGAGCGTAAGTTTTTTTTCGTTCTATCTTTCTCCCTTTTATCGTGAAGTAACGGCTATTGTGCGAAGAGATGCGTCGTTTTGACAAGGTGGGGTCGGCGGAGGCAATTGCTCTTCCTTACATTGATTCAAAATTTCTTCTCATTTATTTTTTTTATAATCAACAGTTGGGTGGCTTCAACTTTGATTATTGCAACAAATGGCCAGACGATATCAATTTCCTCAAACTCTATATGCGATTAAGCATCACCGGACTCTAATAGATCAATCACTTGGTCAATTTCTATTCTCTCTGCTAGAAGCTCTTAGCGAGTAGGACCACCAATAAGCATCATCCCTAAGAGTTATAGAGAAAATGACTTCATTAAAAATTCGCTCATTAAAATTAAATATGTACAATTTATTGACATAAAATTATACTAAAAATTTAAGATTTTACATTCTCTCTCCTATCTAACTTCGACTTAAGGAATATCAAACACTGGCAAGTTAGCATCTCTTCTCACAACAGCAAGAGAAGAAGAGTGTTGGTCAGCCAGAGGCTTCAACGAAGAAGTGAGTTTTTAAATCTCGTCATTGGTCTTCCACTCTTCAATTTTAACTCTCTTCTTCTTCTTCTTTCCGAAGAAGTTCCTTCTTTCTTACACTTGTCGAATAGGATAGCAATGATATCTTCTTTAGAGATGTTAATATTATCTTTTGAAACCTCTATTATTGACAAGGATGAAATTTCAATGAACTAAAAAAAGAAGAAGGAATCAAGGAATCAAGCATTTGACTAAGAAGCAAGATTTTTCTTTTATAGGCTAAGTATTATCTGACATTGAGTAAAGGATAATGTTAGAAGTAAGCATCAAACTGCTTGACTAATATCTAATATTAAAATAAATATTTATTAAGGGTTAATAATTAATTAATGAAGAATACTATTTATCTTATCCTTTTTTTCAATAAACCTCCAAAGATATAAGATAATAAGGGAACTAAATGTACATTCAAATATCAAAAAAAAAAAAAAAAAAAAAATCCGATTAAACCAAAGGGAGGTCCGAAAAAAAAAAAAAAAAAATCCGATTCAAGCTAAGGCAATCCAATTCAAGATAAATCAAGCCATATGAAATCAAGTCAACTCGATCTACTCTATCTCATACTCACAAAGTTACAAGAGAACAAGCCTCAAGTAGGTACCATGATCTTAGAATGTCCCAGTGAGCAAAAAAAAGTCTAATATTCAGCCCTAGCAATTACTATCCATAAAGTCCATCCTGATGACTGCTCGAGGAATGACTTCTCAAATGAACTATTGATCGACTACTCGGCAATCCGGTTATCAAGTTGACAACTTCTTCAAAGCTCGGCAGACGACTTCATCCAATCAGACTACATAATTATTTATTTTCTCTTATTTCTTATATAGCCATATAAATAGCCAATTTTGTAACACTCAAGCTTCAACCTAAATCTATAAATAGGTGATTAGTGAGCTTAGTTTACACAATTTTACTTAATTTATCTCTAACAATCAATTCTCTATACTCAAGCCTATTTTATAGAAACCTCGGAGCGTCTTATTCTAGAATTCTTGATTCTCTCTATATTTCTCTAATTTCATTCAAACAATACTCTCAATATAGTTTGGTGTGATTTACGAACACTTCTGGATTCAACAAGATCATCATGCTCATTCAGTATTATTTCACTCGCAGAATTCAAAAGAACAAAAAATAACAGCAAATGTAGGTCTTAAAAAAGAATGAAGGATTTCTAAATCTGAAGCCAAATTGTTAGGAAAATCTTGGTAGTGATGATTATAATTTCATGCTCAATTTAATTATGCACGTCAATGTCTTGTGAATCAAATCAATTAACCATCAATCAACATCGCATCTTCGAACCTATGTTATTGTCTTGATTACAACAGAGCAGATCATTGGTTCAACGATGGAAATGGAGGACACTACTGCCGCTTATCCAATATAAGTCCAGCATGCTTGATTTGAGATCTAAAAGCTTAATCAACACTCTGCACATAGCAATTATTTAAGCTGGACATCACAGAAAAGTCCTAGACAGTCAAAAGCTATGCCAAATCATGATCAAAGCACAAACAATATAGAGAACTAATTTTAGAAAAGTTTCGGGTAAAGGGTTATTCCATAATACAAACAAATGAAAAAGGATAGAGAAAAACCAAGAAAGAAAAACCAAATTACAACTACAGGCAAACTATCACAAACCTGAAATAATCCTCCGGGGAAAAGCTATCATACATCTCCGCAAATTTAGTCACAATTCGAACAGAATCCTTCAAAGCCCTTCCTTCCACCTACACTAATCATACAATACATCGACAAAAGTTGTAGTTTTTTGAAATGAAACAAGTAATATTTGTTTACTCAGACAGCACATGATGCCAATGCTTGAATGGCAAATGCTTCGTACCGATATCATGGCTTGTGGAAGTGTTTTCTTCAAAATTGCTTCAATTACAGCCTGCTGAATATTATGCAGACCCACGTAATTTATCAATATGTTCTCCGGAATTTTCTTCCCAGGGCGAAACCCAGGAACCTAAAAGACAATTTGCAATCTAGTATAAATATGTGAATTTATATACAATTATACATCTATAATATAAGGAACTTACAGATGGAGCAGAATCATGAAGTTTTGAGCATACAACACTATAGGTATCACGTAAGGAATTACTAGGAGTCAAAAGTTTCTTTTCATTCATCATTACCATCACTCTTGCATCATCAATAATTTTTCAAGTCAATATTCTGTGCAACAGAAGTCTAGTATTAAAAGACATTATTGAACACTAACAAATTCTTATAGCATAACGGCTGTCATGCAACCAAATTATTGGTGTGACTTTTTTATTCAACACACAAGTGAGAAAAGAGGAACTCCAAATAAGCTAACAAAATAGTTAACTGTAACACCCAGCTGAACTAGTTCAATCGAACCAGTCCCTTAAACTCAAACCAATGAGCGGGCTACGCAGTAGAGCAAGAGCGAGCGGGCAAGGGGTCGAATCGCATGAAAGAGCAAAACAGAGCATTCATGAGTGTTTAAATGCAACTCTTTGCATGAGATATCAAATTTCGCTCACTCCAGTGGTTCCAGTGGAACCACACGGACAAAATAAGGTAGCAACCAAGAGGAGGCACCAACTGAGAGGAAGAGGAAATTGGAGGAGAGAAAGAGAGATATTGTAAAAGACAAAATTTAAGAGTGTTTATTGTTAAGGGTTTGTCATCAGATCAAGGTTTGATGAGAGAGAGAGAGCGGAGTTCTTGAGCCTCCTTGATGATGGGAAAAGAGTAAGTTTTTTTTCAATTCATATTCAAATTTTAAAAAATAATATAAATATATAATTTTTAGTTTTGACTGAAATAATAATATATGATTGTTTAATAAGAAGAATCCAATTGGTGGAAGTCTCGATTCGAGAAGGGAAGGAAATAAAAATTTCTCGAGGTAATTTAATTTAATTTAAGAATAATTTATTTTAAATCATTTTTAGAAATTAACAGTAGATAATGTAAATATAATGATGGTGTAATAATTTAGAAATAATTAATGTTATTTAAATGATATATTCAATGCAAAGGAATATCATTGATATTCGACATAGAGAAGGAATTAAGTCATTGAGATGAGATAGAATATTGAAGCCAACAAGAAAAGTTTAAGGTAAGATTATATATATGTTAATGGAGGATTTATTTAAATTTAATAAAAGTATAGTTTTAAGACAACAATGCAAATTATGTAATTGAGTGTGTGACCTTAGGTGCTGGATTAAAGAGGCCATTTAGAAACTGAAGAAATTTGGAAGTGATTTCAGCACGAAAATCAGCAAAGTGATTGATTATGCTTGTTTATAGCAATTACAATATTTAGCTCAACAGCCTAATTCCTTCATGCACATGTGCTTGTTAAATTTCATTTCAAATATATATATATATATATATTATAATGCCTCTAAATCAAATAAATCATTTTTCAACAAGAGGTCATATTTGTAACAATTTAATTATAAAAATAATAACATTTTACATACCTAACACTATATATATATATATATATATATATATACTATAAATTATAATTGTCCATCGAGTTTATTATGAAAAACTTAAATTGTTAAATTGAAATGTCAAATAAATTTCATGTGAATTAAACAACTGAAAGAGAAGAATTCGTTTACAGAAAATAAGATCTAATGAAAATAGGTGCAAACTGATTTATTTTATGTTTAAATTGAAAATTTTATTTTAGTGATTATTTAGTTGTACTTTGGATATTAGTATAGTGAATAATTATTGCTATTAAAAGAATTATAATAAATATCCGACCGTCTGTTTCCGTATTAGGCTATGAATTCGAGTTTAGTATTGGCCAGGGTTAGAGAACAAGGCGACTGATGCCTTGTCCAAATGCATGGGAGTGCTCCAGGATTTAGTCATATCGATACCACAGATGATAGATTGAGGGTTATTAAAGAGGAGAGTGTGCATGATGAAGAACAGGGAAGGATCATAGCAAATCTACTGAAAGATGAGAATAGCCAGTTCCTTAGAGGGGGAGAGACTATTTGTATTGCCACGAACCTCAGTCCATAGTGTGCAGAAGCATATAAGAGATTGACAGTAGAGTTGCATTGAAGGGGGGATGCGCAAAGATGTGAAATAGATCGTGGCTAAATATGAGGTATGCCAGCGTAATAAGTATATAATCATTGCTCCAGAGGGTTACTTTAACCCCTATCTCTACCAGACAAGGTGTGGGAGGATGTCATCATGGACTTTATAGATGTGTTACCCTTGTCTAAGATATTTAAAGTGATTCTGGTGGTAGTTGACAGGTTGAGCAAGTATGCTCACTTCATTCCCCAACGACATCCTTGCACAATAGTGATAGTGGCAGTAACATTCATCAAAGAGGTAGTCAGACTGCATGGGGTACTGAAATCTATAATTTCTGACCAAGATAAGGTGTTCCTCAATCACTTTTGGAGGGCATTGTTCAGGCTGCAGGGGACTACTAAAGAGGAGCACCACTTACTACCCTTAGACAGATGAGCAGACGAAGGTGGTTAATAGAAGCTTGGAGACTTACGTGCGATATTTCGCTTCAGAGACACCTCGGTTGTGGGCCAAGTGGCTATCATGGGCTATCATTCGACTTCCTAGATAATTCCTTTTAAAGTACTGTACGGAAGGGATCCACCCTATCTGGTGCATTTTGGGCAGAGTAGCACACTAATTTCTTCAGTAAAACAATACTAGGAGGAGAGGGATAGGGTGCTGGAGGATTTATAAAGTCAGTTGTTGAGGGTTCAGCAGATCATGAAGTAGGCAAATAAGCATAGGAAAGACATCCAATTTGAGATGAGGTATGAAGTCACCCTTGCAAACAAAGGACGGTCGCTAACAGCAGAAACTAGAGGTTGGCACTGAGATACTTTGGCCCTTACGCGATATTGGAGAGGATCAGAGTTGTGACTTACCGACTGATGTTACGCCGATTGTTGTCATACACCTAGTGTTCCACATTTCACAATTGAGGAGAGCTATTGGTGATTATGTTGCTAGCTCAGAGATACTCGGGACACTAACTGAGGACTTTGAAGTGGTGTTGGAAACCTTGAAGCTCAAAGGTGTACCATAGGGAGAAGGTGAGCTCAAGGAAGTGCTGATAAAGTGGCAGATCCTACCTGACTATGACGCCACATGGGAGTCGTACGAGAGAGTGAAGCATCAGCTTCCATCCTTCCACCTTAAAGACAAGGTGGGTCTTTGAGAGAAGGAATTGTTAGACCGGTCCAGCAGGTCCAGGCAAGTTTATTAGTGGCGTAGCAGGAGTTGTGTCCCCGGGAATGCCGCCCACCCTTCCAGCCGGTTTGAATGAAAAATTTAATGTAGTTTGAGAGGAAATTTTCAAAGGGCTGTTTAGGGATTTCCTTTTTGATTGTATGATTTAAGGAGGAAAATTTTTAAGGATTGGGATATCATGTTTTTGCTAAAGTTTGGAGAGTTCTAAGGTTTTGTTTGGTCTCTAGCTGCCAGCTAGAGATTGGGAGAGTTGGATCTTCCTCTCCAATTGATGATTCATTTTATCTTATTGTTTCGTCCCTATTTCATATATTAAAAAGTTTTCTTCTTATTCTTCTTGTTCTATTTGTGGTTTGTGTTGGAGATTGCTGAAATTTAAGTTCAACCAAGCATTGTCTTGAGTTTTGCAAGAACTTCCTAATAGATGCTCAAAGATATCTACACAACATAAGCATGGTAGATCATAAGAATAAATGGGCTTGACGCCAAAAAGTATACCTTCGCCTGATTTGAAAATTCACGTAAAACCTTGTTGTAACTCTCCTTGCAACTGTTCGGAGGAACTTCTATGCATAACCTAACCTGTAATAAGGAAAAAAAAATTTAAAATAAAGCTAATTAAAAAAAAATAAATTAAAGAGAGATGTATCAATATAAACCACAAAATATGAAATAGGGATCAAAATAAAGGTTATAGCTCTGCTAAATCCCACGAAATAATGGCATACAAAAATTGCCCAAAAAAGCATTTTTGGCAAGCATTTTAGTTGTAATATCTTTAGTTTACTGCCGCCATTCCACTCATGGTAAGGATTCTTACTCTTCTTCATAGCATTATCCAACATGACAAAGATCTGGAGTTCTTCATAATGTTGAATTTTGAGATATTCATTTTAAGGACCAAGGATTCAGGAAGCTTTTTATTTTTTCATGTTTGAACCAACAGGTATGGGCTAATGGGCAAGACCCAGCCAGTTTATGGTATTACAAACATGTTTTGTCCAAACGGACATGAAGCTCAGGTCGGTTAAGACAAAAACAAACTTCTTTCATTAGCTTTACCCAGTGGGAATTAGGGGGCTAACGAACTATATGTCTTCTAGATAGATATGGTTTTATATGCAATCCATAAGTCAATTTCCATTGAGCTTGGAATAGCATGCACAAACTAAGAGTTCCATCAAAACTTCCCCTATTTATCATTGCGCTTTTGCTAACACCAATGACTCAACCAATATGCCAAGTCAAACTACATTTTAACATGTCAATCTGCATTTACAGAGAACGTGGAGTAGGGAGTTGCATGGGTGAATAAATTAGCAGCGTGGATGGATCTCATTATGAAAGAAAATCATAAGAATTTGCCACAAGCAAAAGATTACTCATTATCCTTGGGGTGTCACCTGTCGCAATCAACACGTTTCCCAATAAACTAAAATAAGAATGGTGAAGACCGCAAAAGGACGAAATGTTGAAACTAAGGCATTAAGCAAAGACACTAATAAAGAGATCGGCAACTAGGGAGCAATGACTAAACAACACAAAGGATCATCAACAAGATATTGTGCCTGCACTTGAGTTGGAAGACTTAGACCATTAGCTATTAAGTTTTTTCTTTATGACTGTTATTTTTGGCAAACAAGTCATCTTCTCCAATGAAAATATATGACTATGTACCATACATATTATATCTCCATGAACTCCTTTATATTATATAAACACTCATGATATGTAAAATACATGAAATGATATGCTTGTATGATATGGTGCTTAGCTTGAATATACATTGAGATGAACATACCATTGTGGGCAAAGGAATATGCATGAAAGCACTCTCATAGAATGACAGTTATTCATACTATCAGGATGTCAACTCTCCAATGAGGGGTCCATCGATTCCTAGAGTTGCACCAAAATGTAATGGTAAAATGCATGATACGAAGGAATGGCATGTTATGACAAAGTTTTCATTTTCAAGCTTACCCTATGAAATGCGCAATAAATGACATGTTCAAATTGATGCATTCCCCATTAAGCTTTTTTATTTTATGTTCATTTGATATGCATGTGTTTTTCAATGAGTTTATCTCATAGTTTCTATACTCTAGGGGTTGGTTCAGCACAAACTAGGCAAATGAATAGTGATGAAATTGACTGGGATGAGTAATGTTTGGCCTTGGGGGCAATTAGGTCATGATAATTCAAGTTGTGTTTCTATGAGGTCAGCCTTGATTATGATGCCCGGTAAAGTTGCTTGCAATGACCTTAAGAAGAGATTTAATGATTAATTTCATGAAGGCATTCACTCAGGTGCATATTTCAAACTCTTATTTACAATATGACCAAAATAACTACAAGACAAATTGAACTTATTGGATATAAAGATAAATGGAACAAACCTAAATTTGTGATGAATGAGGTTAAAATTTATCGGATGATTTAGAAAGCTTTCAGAGTCGATGCTTTCATTATGTCCAAAGAAATACAATCAACTAAGTTTTTCATAATTAAATTTATTACATGTATTATATCTCTGCATCTTTTTGAAATTTATCATAAATTGATAATATGTATATGAATGATGAAAGATGTTCAATTCTAGTGCTTCAAATTTACAAAAATCGGCTATTCATATTCTTAGCTAAAGATCTTCCTCTTAACTGGAGTAATTTTTAGTGTATTCATTCTAAAAAATGAAATCAATTGGAACATTAAAGGCTAAATAATCATGTATATTATGTACAATCTTAATTTGAGGAATAAGTATGCTCTTCATTAGTAAATCATATGTTAAATAAAGATTTAGTCTACCATGTTAAATCATGAAAACCTTATATGCATAACTTCCCCAGGATGTTTTTCTTGAATAATTAATATCATGGGTTATTAACAAAAATAATATTAATACAGTAATTGACTTCAGACTAATAATACTACTCGCAATATCACTTGTCCATCCCATCTACAAAAATTTAATCTAAACCTCAACAACCTTCAAAATATTATGAGACTATAGCTGTTGGGCACTAGGGTCAAAATATAATCTCAACATCTGGAACTAAACAAACAAAAGAAAATCCAGTATTTAATAAATCTCTAGAAATTGAGCACGGCTAAGATGCTATGGGCCCATTTGTTTGCTTGAATTTAGAAGATATGCTTTGGAAAATAGCAAAATTTTCCATACAAATCATTTAGTTGAAAATCATTATTAATTTTAAACATCCTTAAGCCCTTAAAAATATAATACTTTAATTTCACACAAAAAATTAAGTGACAATAAATCATTAATTTCAAAAAATATTATTTTCATCAAGAAGAAACCATTAAGATATATTACTGCTTATCAATTGTGTATAGACCAATCACATGGAGCACAAGAAAATTCTGCACTGCACCACCGCACATAACATAATTCCACTATATCGAATAAAGATATTAGATGTATTAATTACAAAACACAAACATTAAAGAAAAAAAAATAAAATCCATCATTGGCAACCATTTCCACCATAAAAGAAAATCAATAATCAATAAACAAACGTGACAAAACTTATAAGAGAAAACATATAGTAATATCTCACACTCGAGCGTGGCTGCTTTGTCTCGGTGACCGTGACAGGGAATCGATCCTTCTCCGTCTTCTCAACCGAGATGGCCGCGGCTGAGACGGTAACCAATCGAGGATGTCGGGTAGAGGAGTAAAAGAGACAAGGCAGTAATCGGCGGGAAGGGAGGTAAGGTGAAAGGTGCGATTGAGAGGAACAAAGGTCCTTTAAGGTTGAGGAAGAAGGAAAATCAGTTTTAGGGCATCGCGGGCGGAGATGTGTAGCCACCCCGACGAGCAGAGCCATTTGGATTAGCCTTTGTTCTGCTGTGGATATGGTATGAGATAGAGCGGGAAGAGCAAGAGCTGGAGTGACGAAGAGAGCAGAAGAACGAGCGGTCGAAGATCGACTGGATTCCTAGATTTTGGTCTGGGCTTCATCTGAAAAATTATTTGTTTATTTATTTAAGGTATTAAAAATTTAATTATTCTGATATTTTATTTCATTGATTTGTTATATATATTATTTATTTATTTATTTATTTCAATTTAATTAGCATAAGATAACACCTTAATAAATTATTACCTAATTATTTGTTAAGTTAATTAAATAAAAATTTCTATTTACTCAAATTAAATAATAATAATAATAATGTTAATTTACTCATGTTAATATTTTAAATTACTCATATTGATTTAATTTTATAAATTAATAGAATAGTAATAGTTTTAATTAATAATTTTTATCAATTGTAATTACACTTGTTAAGTTATAAGTAGCATAACTTGATATTTTAACTAACCTTTAAATAAGAATTTATAAAATTAATTGAACGTAAGAATTTCTATTTAATCAAATTAAATTATAAATAGTATTAATATTCTAAATTTAACATCATTTAAATTAATGAATATTAATTATTAAAATAAATATTAGAAAATTTTGCGTTTGAGCTCATTTAATTAAACCCATGACAAAAAAAAATCTCGTTCTTGTTTCTTTAAATCCAATAAATCTATCAAACTACAATTTTTAGCAAATTAAAAATTTAGAGCGAAATTATGATAAAACATAATCTATTATACATATAAGAAATTTAATTTACTCGTTAGGACCAGGGTGGAACCACGAAGAGCTCAAGGTGGGCAATTGCCCACCTTTAAATCTTTTAGTCTGTTAAAAAAATAAATATTTTAACTATTTTCTTCACCTTCGATAAATGCAGTTGTCCAAATTCTAAGAAAAAAATATTTTCTATTTCATACATAAAATTATACATTTCACATTCCTATTATGATCACCCTTAAAACCCCTTTGGGACTATTTGACTATGTTTGCTATAAATCCTAATAGGGGTCAAGTTTCATGTAAAATCATATATGCTTGCCTTTTAAGAAGAAATAAGACATGTTGGATTGGTTATCGTTTGATTTATAACTAAGAATAGATTTCAATATTATCTAGCATCCATTGCTCTATTTGGGTTGAAGGGATTGGGGGAAAATTGACGTTGTGGAGATTAAGCTAGCAAAATCAACTCCTTCAAATGGGTTCTCTTAACTATAATTCACTATTTCATTTTATATTGTTACATTAATCTTATTATGTTTTTTTATGATTTTTTTAGTCCTATTTAGCAGTTTACCAAAAAAAAAAGCTTAATTTTTTTTTTTAAAAAGCTAGAAATTAGTTTGGTTGTGACATTTTGGATTAGAGGAATTTTTATTGGGTCAGGTAACCTGATGTAGAGATACATCAGGTACCCAATAAAAAAATGGCACATGCACTTTAAACAAAAAATACTCAGCTTTAAACAAAAAGTAAGTGCATGTGGCATTTTTTTATTGGGTACCTGATGTATCTCTACATCAGGTTACCTGACACAATAAAAATTTGGATTAGAGACATGGCAGATGGTGCCAAGCAATCAATTGGCAATTATTTATAAATCCTAAAAAAAGCGCATCTCCTTGTGAATTGGAAGTGCTGCCCTTCGATTTTCTAGTGCTTTGTTGTGGGGATGAGGTGGGAATTTTGCAATATTAAGGTTTGGTTTGGGACGGTTTCTTACTACTTCTTAAAACAGCTTTCAAGTACAAAAATGTTAACTTTGTGCTAAAAAATTGTTTTAAGAAACAGTATGAAAGCCGTCCCAAACGAAGCCTAAGAATGATAGAAATTTGCCTTTAGTTATTTAATCGATAGACCTGACACTCATACCGATGGTAAGAGAATTTGTTGCAGTGCATTGTGCATTGAGACGTCTCTAATGAGTTGATCCATTGACTCGACTGGAGTTTATTTATTTCAATGAAGGTCTAGTTCTTTGTTTGTAAACTACATTTTCTAATTCAGAGTCAAACTTCGTAGACACCTTCCGAATACACTTACAAAGGTGGTGTCACCTCCCAAATATTTAACAAAGTGACTTAAGATAAATAAATAATGACCTTTTATGAACAACTTCATCTGACGGCTTTTTACAATAGGAATATGTTGTAAAAGTACTATTCAACTATATGGAGATATCACATAAGAACCAAGTCATATATGTGTGTGTGCTTGCTGTGCTGAATGCATGAGGAGTTACTACAGGAAAGTCAACAATTTCTTACGGATTTGCAGAGGAATTTTTTTTCTCAAAAATTGCGTCAAATTTGAGACGGAAATATTCATCATTTTTTTTTGCAACAAAAATTCCGTCGCAAATCAACATAGACAACCCTATCTAACCGACTGATCAAGCATTTATTTCATTCATTTGTTATGTTCTCAACTGCTCTACATGGACTTCCCTCGGCTCCTTCGACGACGTTCCCTGTGGCATCGCCTCCTTCAACGACATTCCTTCCCATCGCATTCAAAGTCACATTTCCTCTTGTTCTTCATGACAACCACTATCTTACCTCCTTCCCATTCTTCTTCGCAGGCATCACACCTCCAATCCTTCTTGACTCTATTCGCAGACAAAGTCGGAGACGGAGCTTGCTCCTTTAGAAGGTATCCATCTTTCTTCCTTTTGCGCGTTTCTTCTCCAAAATGTCACTTCCGAACTCACACCTTCTCGCCATTCTTTTGTAGCAACCAAATTTGAGCAAAAGAGAGTTTGGTCTTTGCAAAGGTATCCATCTTTCTTCCTTTTGCATGCCTCTTCATCCAGACCCCAAATCTGCCGCTGGTGCAAGGTATGAATTTTAATTATGATTACTTCTTTGTTGATAAGACTAGAGAGGGAGATAAATGTAAACTTGAATTATGAAGGTCAATCTTAGAATTTAATAGTAGGGATAGTGATTTTGGGCAAATAATTCATTAATAATAGCATACATTTTAGAAATATTGAGTCTATTATTCATAGCGATGGTGTAATAGATGGAGATATTTTTAGTAGAATTCATGTTGGATGGTTGAAATGGAGGAATGCATCAGGCTTGTTGTATGATAGAAAAGTCTCAAGGCCTCAAACTTAATGGAAAATTCTATAAGATTCAGTGATGAGACTTGCAGTGCTTTATGATGTAGATTGTTGGTCATTAATAGAGAAGCATAATATTAAGTTAAATATATGTTGCAGAGATGAGGATGCTCAGGTGGATGAGTGACGACACGATGATTCATTTGTGTGTTGCACTAATTGACAAACATTCTTCTATTGCCAAATATACATGCATTTTTAAACTCTATGAGTTCTATGGAAGACGAGAGGATGGCGATATCAATATGGGACTTGAGTATAATAGAAAAAGTACTGTACAATGAGTGTGTGATGGAGGTGACATGAGAGCATGATATTCTCTATCATATGAATATGCCAGCAACAACTGAGCAGCACAACCGAAGGGCTTGACTAAAATCCATCCATACTGGCATCCAATACTTAAGTTAATACCTAAAATATCAACATTAGCAGTGATAGGTTTATATCATCACATCCATGCAAACTCCTAAAATTATCAAGCCCAAGTGTGTTATGGAAGTGAAGTAACATTGTTTTTTTTTTTTTTAAATTGATACAAATCTAATTATTTAGTTGTAGGAATTTATATCCCAAGTGTGTTATGGATATTCAAAACTATAGAAGTTGGATGTATAACCAATTGTTGCATGGACGTAAAACATTAATAGATGAATTTTTGAACGGAGTGAATTATTTTATTCAGGCAAACTGTCAATTACCCTCCTTTATATCAGATGGAAGGTTTCTTTGTCCATATTCTAAACACAAAAAATCAAGCGTACCTTACACCAAATGAGATTACTATTAATATATATCGCAGAGGATTCATGCCATAATATTGATATTATGCTTCACATGATGAGTAAGAGCCTCAAGTTGACTCTCAGTGTGATCTATCTACTAAGTTCTAATATAATTGAGAAAGACAGAGTTAGGACGTTTGAGGACTTGGTTTTATGATACAACTAGGCCATAATTTCAATAATACATAAAAGAGTAACCAAATAAGAAGACACAAATCTTTTATGATTTATTGCAGGTTGTGCGACAACCAATTTGGAATATGTGCCCTAAAACTCAAAGTTATATATTAATGTCAAGATGTTAAGCATAAATACAAAATATATTGTACCCAGAGAATGCTTTAATTAATTTATTGGCCTTCTTAAGAAGACCAATCTGATAAATAATATAATTTTGATAGATTTATGCATAACAAAAAATTTAATTTCCAAACTTGATTTTATTGCTATAAAAATAGATTGTTGTGTTAACAAATATATATTGCATTACAAAGATAATTTTATAGAGATTGCATTATTCTACTTACCCATCATTCCTAGATTATAACTTTTATATGCATCTATGAGCTCTGATGCACATATGAGATGACATAGGGAACACATCTCACAAGTAGGCATTCCAATATATCCATCAAAAGTAGAAGCTTGAAAAACTTTGACCGTACACATCCTACCTTCATCACATAACTAAAAAAATGTAAGATTAGATTTACTTGCATATGATTTTATTCCATTTATCCAATCTACCTTACCTTATACATATTGCCCCGTGATACTCACCCTTATAATCTTCATTCAAAGTTGTGTATGACTACACCCTTTATATTTCGGACTCTTATAATTCTAGACCCACACAATCTAAAGGTAAAGATAGATCCTTTAATCAATGGCTTAAAATTATTGTGAAATAAAGGAGTTAATGTATATGATATCTCCACCAAATAAAATTTTATATTAAGGGCAACATTACTTTGGATAATTGATGACTCTCTACTATTTGATATACTTTTTAGTTGGAACACTATAAGAAAGCTAGCTTTCCATATTGCTTGAAAAATACTAAATCCTTTACTTTGAAGTATAGAGGTGAAAATAATTGGTTTGACTATAACTGTATGTTCTTACTTGCAAACCATATATTTAGGCAAAATAAGAATGCTTTCATTAAAAATAAAATGGAGATGATATAGCCCCCACAAAGGTTAAGCAGCAAAAAAATATTTGAAAGAGTAAATATTTATTAAGCAGCAAAAAAATCATATTCACGATAATTGATTATCCATCATTAGTTATTTATTAAGTACCCATGTATAGAGTTAATCATAATTGGACAAAATGAGCATTTTATGGTCTTTGTCATATTGGAGAACAAAATTGATTAGACATAATTTAGATGTGATGCATAAAAAGAATCAAATTTTTGATAATGTGTTCAATACAATAAAGAACATCAATGGAAATTCTAAAGATAATATAAAAGCTAGGATGGACTTAAATGATATTTATAGGATAAAAAATTTGTTCAATTTTTACCCAGCAAAGCAGCATATACACAAGATACAAGATATCATATTGAGCAGGTTTGATGAAAATCCCAGAGGATGTATGTGGCACGTGATTTAGGAAGTTTGCAGTTAGTAAGTTGCAGTATTATTAACATTTTGCACAATTTGCAGCAGAACTATCTGCCACTTATTACATTGAAAATGGCGACAAACAAGTCACTGTAAGACCACCGTAAATTGCGATAGACATTCCACCATAAATTCACCGCAACTAGCGACAGAATTAGTGGCAACTGGCTAAAATGAACATGCCATTTTATTGAATTTAATTATATCATAAATTTTCCATAAATTCATAATAAAATATTTGCGATCGATTATTTATGACGCAAATACTTTTTAACATGTCTTTTAGCGTCAGAATGTATTTCACTACAAAGCAAAATTTGTGACAAATTTGGCTTGTTTATGCTATGTAAATAGCTAACTTTCATGTAATGAGAAGAAAAATAAGAAGAGAGAATGATGACTTCTTTTTTGTATACATGTTCTATAATAACCAATAATTTAGCTCATGCAAAAAAAATTAAGGACTTATTATAAGTTCAAATAACAAATTGACTTCTCCATAACATCGATATTTTAGTGCTTTAAATACACTAATTGTTTCATAATTTTTGGGCACTGGTACAAATCCTTAAAAAATTGATACCTATCGATATAAGTGGAGATTTTGAGATTATTATGTATCCATTTTGCTAACCTATTTCACAAGAAATTTTTAAATTAAATATTATATTTTATAGATATTGTTTTATAATTTTTAAAGTACTTAAAAATTATATCAAATTTATATTAAATTTTGATTAAATTATAAAATATTATTATTTTATTATAAAATATCTAAGGTCACTTTCTAATTTTATTATAAAATCATTTTTCTATTCATATCATTTAACAAAGATATGTACATTTAATTTAAAATAATAATATTAGAAAGTGAATTTAGGAAAATATGTTAGGAGAGAGAAAAACAATTTTAGGGTTTGAGGTCATAGAACAATTTTCGTTAGTTAGCCCAGTTGAAAAATTTGCTCGACTCATTGTAAGGAATCATTACACTATTTCTGATTTCAATAATTTTATGTTTTGATCAATTTTGTATTTTTGTTAGAAAAAAATGAGGATAATTTTTCATTGTAAAACTTTCATTGTAGAACTTTTTATATGTTATAAAAATTGAGATTATAAATATTTTAAGTATTTATTTAAGATTTTTCGCATGATGATTTTAAAAAATAGTAATTTTTATGAATTTAGAAATTTATTTAGACATATAAAATTAGTGTTTTAATTCAATTAAATCTTCAAAATATTGTTATATATTATTCATGGTAATTTAGTTAATTTTAAAAATATGAATGTCTATTTAGTAGGATTCTTTATTGCATGCCATTAGAATATTTTGATACTTTTTGTATTAAATCCATTTATGCTTTATTTATTATAATGCATTGGTAATGAATGTGAATATATCACTATTACTGTTAGGGGTGTCAATATTTGACACGACACGAAAACCCGACCCGGACCCGACCTGAAAAATCCGGGTTGAACCCGACCTGTTTGAAAAACGGGTCGGGTTCGGGTTCACAGATTCGACCCGTTTGACAAAACGGGTCGCCTGCTGCCGCGCGATTCCGGGTCGTGTAGGGTCAACCCGCCGGGTCGGGTCCGGGTTCGGATTTTCGACCCGTTTTTCTACCCGGGTCGGGTTAGGGTCGACCCGTTTTCCACCCGGGTCAGTTCGGGTTCGACCCGAACCCGACCCGTGACCCGAAATTGACACCCCATTTACTGTTATAGTTGTTCACCTCACTTTTGATGAGGTCGATCTTCTTTTATGGCTTTCTTATAACCTAAGACTTTCTACCTTAGCGTAGAAGTCATCCCTAAAATTCTTCTTAAGTGAGCATCCTACATCATAGCTTCAACTCATCCTTAATTACGATGATTTAGTTTTGATTAAATAGATTTGCATAAATCAAGCTTAGTTAGTTCTTCTTCAAGTTAATGAACATCAATCAAATCTAAATTATGTTAAATCGAACCATCTCAAGTCAATTCGATTCTACTCAAATCATTCACTTCCATGACCTCGATCCGATTGAGTGCAATTGACTCGTTTCAAATTAATTTAAAATGAATTAGGGTTAATTAACTCAAATAAACACAATTAAAATTTAATCCATATTAAAATCCAATGAAATATACTTGTTAATTTAGCTATTTCGCATCAACTGCCCCTCTAATACATTTAATTTCTTTGAATATAATTTGAACCCTTGGATGAGAAGGGTGGGATGGTCAATGATCCTTCCCAAAGCATCTAGGGCATAAAAGAGGGTCGATCCGTGTATTTCCCCAATTCGTCCTAACCGATCGTGTGAGGGCGGCTGAGAGTGCTTGGTGTGTGTGATCCATCTGGCCGAGAGGGAGAGGCATGAGCAAGCGATCGGCTTCTTGCATGCCTTCTATTTGGCCAAGTGAGAAGAGAGCATGGTGGACTGTCGGCTGCTTTCATGTTCTCCACCTGACCAAGTGTGAGAGGGTATGGATGGTGGCAATTTTCACTAGATTGATCCCAAGCTGCATGCAACCTACCTCTCTTTAGTTCCTTTGGCTCTCTCAAACACGAAAGCTCTCCTCCCTCCATCAGCCACATCTCAAGTCTTCCTTGTTTGCGTGAAATGTTGTTCATGTTTTCTGGCAATAACAAGGTAATTGAAATTCCAAAATCTTCTGATCTTTGTCTTAAACTTTAAAATCTTAAAAATATATTTGTCACTACTTTAATCGAGAGTATTCTCGAAGAATTTACCTCTCATAAGAAGTAAATAGCCATAGAAGCTTACCCTTATAGGAAATATATAATTCCAGAATAAAATAAATCATATTTTACCCTCGTAGGATTGGAAAAAGATTTTTAAGAACGTAGGCAGTCTTTTGACGTGTTACTATATTCTCTTTGTAGTATTTAATCATAGAAATGACACATTTTTCAAACTCATTATCGCCTCTAAATTCTTCATAGAATATTATATTCGTCTCTTAAGATGATATAATATTATCGTCAATGTATCTTGTTGTGGAAATGATAAAATTTTCAAAGCCTTATTTCTTTTTTCAAACACCTCCATAGGATATCAAATTCATCTTTCAGGATGATATTTTATCCTCTTGATTACAAGAGTGATATTGTAAAAAATCTTATTTTTTATTGAATCCATTGTAAAATATGGTGTCTGTCTTTTGGGGTGATATGGTATTCTCCATGTAACACTCAATAATAAAATAAGAGGACACATCAAATCTGTATGAAAATTTATTTTCAACAATAGTATCATGATAATAATGTGTATGTAAAAGATAAGTAAATACTGGTTGACCTGTTGGTTGGAGATTGATTGAACTATTTAGGATGGCGGGCCAAAGAGCTTATTGATAGACTTATTGAAAGTATTGATAGAATGACTACTTTAATTATTAACAGTCATATTAGTTTACTGAATTTTTCGTTGTGCTTCTTTACTAGCTTTGGTACAATACTGTTTTATTGTTTACAGATTTTACTACTACTGCATGTGAGTTTTATTATTTCTGGACTAATTCTTGATCATATAAATATTACTGCTAAGATTTGACTGCTGACATGCATATTATTCATTTGACTTGTATTGAGTTTAGTTATAAGATTTGGTTACTTGCTGACTCTTGTGCTCATTATATATGATTAAATGATTTCAGGTTAGGATAAGAGAGCATGAGTGTGAGATTGATCAGGATCCTTCAGATTCAAGTTCATATTATTTTAGTTATTTTTTTAATAATCAGGATAGCATAGTTTTGATATGATTGTATATATCTTGAGTGGTGTACATGATTTTTGAGAAAGAAATACATATGTATATATTGATGTTTTAATCGATAGTTTTATTTATGCTAGTAAATTAGGTAGCTCTCATTAATTATTAAAATATTAAATAATAATTCTTTTAAATTAGATTCTACGATATCACAAGTTCAATCTCAAAATCATGGAGAATGCCATGACATGGTGGTTGGTAAAGACCTGCTATAATGAGATGACCATCCTCTGATTACTTGTTGAGATGTCGTTATAATTGCTTGTGAGCCATATGAGATCCCACATGTTGTTGAAGATGTAAATTCATTTGTATGAAGGAAACATGACATATCCCTATAAACTATGGGCTAAATGTACTTTTAAGATGCACAATTTAAGGTGCTGATAGACTATTTTATGTTAGGGGTCAAATAAAATAAAGACATCTTAAGTTGGTCAAATGAGACATGATCAAAAGGAACTAGTGATGACGCACCTCGAAAGTGTTATGCTTAACATGGGCATCGTTAGAAGCTTCTTTGGGAAGTTGGTCGAGAGATGTATTGAACGAAATACAAAGTGTTGAACAACAAGCACTAATGCCACCCTTAATAATTATCAGCCCACGCCCACATATGCTCCTAATTTGATGCAAAAACTAGGTGTCACACAAGTGATCTACATCATGGCCATCACTCATAAGATCTACACTCCAACCATCTATTGAAAGATCTTGCCATAATTACTTCCAAGTAGGTGTGCAAATGAGTCGAGTCGATCTCGAGTTAGGGAGTTTGAGTCGAGCTCAACTGTCAAATACCGAACTCGAGCTCAACTTGACAGTGGAAAATAAGCTCATTGAGCCGCACTATAAGCTGCTCGTCCGCTTCCATCGTGCAACCGTCATCATTGTTAGACGTGTCGCCCACATCTGCGTTAGCGATCGCATTCGCTGTGCCACCCGCTTCAACTCCTGATGTGCCGCTCGCATCCGCCGTGCCACCGTCGTCCGCGTTCGAAGTGCCGCCCGCGTCCGTGTTCGCATCTGCATTCCTTTTCATTTTCCCACCGTCACGAGCCTCGCATTTTCATTTTCCCGCCCGTACATACCCCGCAGTTTCATTTTCCCGTTGTAGCTAGGGCTGTTCGAACTAGAGCTCGATAAGCCGTCAAGATCGACTTACGAACTCGATAAGCTCGACTTGTTGAGCCTGAACCAACTCCCGAGTTGACTTAACTCGGTTGCACCCCAACTTCAAAGCACCAAGCCCCATCTTACATTACTATTGTTGACAATATATTGACAACTCATTATTTTTCATTATTTTAATGCCTTAAATCTATGTAAAAATAAATGCATCTTGTAATATTTTTACGTCTGAAAATGGCGACATCCTTCAAAATTTTTTTTTATGTCAAAATATATCTCATTCTCTATTTTATTTAATTGCTGCTTGCAATGCATGAGAGTGAATGATGCCAATTAAAAACGAGATTGATCCTCACCTTTCTTGCTAGATTTCTCAAACATAACAATGTTTCTTAAATTATAACGTATTTCTAAGTATTTAATTTGAAAGAGAATTTTCATCTTACATAAAATAACCATATATTTATTGCATCGATTATTATTTCACTAAAGATATATACATGTCTCAGTAGTTTGTTAAAATGCCATTTAATTTAATATATATTTTATTCTGAGCTAAACTTAATCAAAATATTATAAGATAAATTTTTGAAAAAGGTCTTTAAACTAATCAGCTGTTCACATTTAGTTCTCTTTTCTTCTTTTATCAGCTTTTCTATTTAATTTTTGTAAATAACATGCATGCATTTTTGCTGACGCATACTAGAATTTTTTGTAAAACGTTTAAAAAAATGCATAATAACAATTTGTAATTTTCTTTAGTTTGAAAAGAACAATTTGTGATACTTAAAATATATATTTTAGCCATTCATATTGTAGAGAGCTTCTTGATGATATAGAGATGCTCATTTAATATTTTATTATTTCATAAAAATTGTATACAATTGTGTTAGTTTTGTGTGGAATCTAATTGTGTAGATTCATCGGTTGAGCTCACTGGGGGATTGTAGGAGGTCGTCCCTCTGCTTATGTTAAGGTGCTTTGCATATAATTTTTTTCCCTATACAATGCTGCAACACTGTGTACCTGAGCCCTACGATAATGTATTATCTAATTGGAGGTAGACGAGAGTGAAGAGCTACGATGCTCTAAACCACAACCTTGCATCATTTTAGACCCGACAGTACGGTGCTATCAGGCATTAAATAGATAGAGAGTTGAGCGCAATGACGCTCCAAACCTGGCGTCGCGACGCTGTTAGAGGGGTTGACAATTTTCTTTCTCATTTTTCATTAAATGTTATGTCTCTTAATGGTTTAGAGTATATCTTTTAGTTAGTTCAAGGGTGAACAAGGATAAGGAGAGAGTGCGAGAGAAGAAAGGCTTGTGCTATTTCTCTCAATTTTTTATAGTGAATTTTTTAGTATGATATGACTCCATAATTTTTTTCCTAATTTTAAATTTTGTCATGTTAGACTTCATTTCGGCTACATTTTGTTTTTTGCTCCTTCGTGTTTTACTTCCCCAACAAATTGAACTTTATTTATCATGACTACATTAACTGTGCCACACTCCCCAATTGTATAACAAACATTCCGAAACCCATTCATTCTAACTACAACCATTAGCCCCAAAGCCAATTTTTAAGTTCCCCACATCATAGACTACATTGAATCCGCGTTGCTGTACATTACCAATGATTACAATGTCGCTAGCAGCATTATTTCCAGCGAAGGCTAAACACGTTTGAGATATACTGCCAATATAAAGTATCCCCATGAACTCTAAGTTAGCAGTCACTCCGTCATCAAAGATAAACGCAATCGCCGGCACCTTCACCTTCTGGTAGTTACTGAAGTCATAACATGTGTCAAGTATGGATAGTGACGGCGCCATCGGGTAATTTGTCATGTGTTGTCGGAAAATGTTGCGAAGGGCGGAGTAGGCAGTGGGCGGCAGTCGGCTAATCACCGTGCCAGAGTCCAACATGGTTCCAGGGGCACTGAACACAGTAGGTGAAAGGGCGAGCCTTTCACCCCCAATAGAAATGGCAACGAGCTTTAGGAAGTACTGGGATGGCAGGTTTGGGTTGGTTAGCATCGGTGTATACTGCACACCAGGGGCAGAGCTACCTAGTGCGAGATATCCAGCTATGCTGGACTTTGATGGTAGACAATATGAGAATACCTTGCCATATAATTGAGCTGTCTGGGAAATAATTGAAAGAGCCCCCCGGCCGAGGCCTAATAACCCATCTAATTTAGTGAATAGCCCCCTGTGGTCATGGCTGCAGCCGAATATGAAGTTTTGCATGGTATTAGAGGAGAATGTCAAGGCATCTTGAATGAGAGAGCCTTGAGTTTGAGAATCGTCAGCGTATTTTACTATGTAGATACAGGTGGACGGAGAGGGGCAGTAGGATGCATCAAGTTGGCGACAATAGTTGGAGCGACAGGAGATTTTGGAGAAAGTAGAGGATTGGGTTGGGTCATAAAGTGGGTCGTTTTGGGGATAGCAATTATCGCAGGGGACACATTGGGTCCAAGTGACATCGCTACCGGTGTCAAATAGAACTGAGAAGGACTTGGTAGGGGTGCCAAGGCCTATGGTGACGATATTGTCATCGTAAATAAGTTCAATGTCGATGTTTTTTTGAACTCCTGCAGAAAGAGAGTCATCAATAGAGTCTCGGCGGGCGGTGGCGGTGGCGGCTCGGCGGTGGATGTAGTCGACACGGGCTTGGTCTTTATGAAGGAGCTCCACATGGGACGGCTTGTCTTGGTGTGCCTGGGATGCACATGGTCCGCGCCGATGGACCACCTTGAGCTTGGAAGGATTCGTGCCTGCCACAATCGGAACAACTTGTTAATATACGTATTGATTGGGACTTAGAAATATCTAGCCGAGAATGATTTTTTTTTTTTGCATCACGTTTAAGCTTCTGAAGTCTATTAAATGATCTTAATTGCCGCATGATTTATTATTATTCTAATTAATTTATGAAACAAATAGTCTCAAATAGGGAATTAATAAATTATTGACATTGCTAGCAAACCATTATCAAGCATGGAGCATGAGCTGCTCGGCAGCAGGGAATTGACGTCAATGATATAGTGCTATCCGGCAATCTCCCGCGCTAATACTAGAGAGTTCTTCTCTATTAGAAGCAAAAAGAAGAATAGTTTGAGAAGAATATAACAGGAGAGAAGAGAAGAAGAAGTCCCCATGAAAAGTTCGAAGCTCTGCTTAGGAAAACTCGGAGTAAGCAAAGTGGAGGAGGGGCTTTATAGGCGTGGATAATTATTGTGCCAAGACTTTGCAAGAGACTGAGTAGACAGTTCCAATGCAGGACGGCAGCGGAAACATATTAGGAAACTACAGTCTATTACTTGGTCTTGTTCTTATATTTATATATCTATACTACTACTATAAAAGGGGCTTGAATTTCCTTCCCTAGCAAATCTTGGCCATTCATTTTATTTTTTCTTAAATTATCTTGGCCATCCATTATGATATAAATAATTAATAATTCAAGAAAATAATATTTATATAATTTAATGCTTTTTATGTAGATCTCATTCTAAATTAATTTTAAAATTTATGAACGTTTTAATCATTTAATTATATGTTCAAACCCTATTAAATGCAATAAATTACAAAGATAAAACTGATTAGTATATTTAAACACATAATAATATTTCATTTAAGCAAATAAATGACCGAAGTTAGAGTTGTTAATAGCATTTAAGAGTTTTTATTTCACTTCTTTCTAAAGAAACTTTTCATCTTCATCTCCTATTCATAATTTCATTATGCATAACGTTTACATTCTTTATGTTTTTTAATTTCACTTTTAAGTTAGAGATATCAATTGCATTTAAGAAACAAGTTAGAGTTGTTAATTATATTTAAAAGTTTTAATTTTAATTTTTCTCAAAAATAAATTTTCATTCTTTTAGTCGTCCACCTTTCATATTCTGCATGTTGCCTCCATTTTGTCTTCCTATTCTGCATAACCGTTATTTTTTCAGGCCTCTACAAATTCCACTACTCTCTATTTATTTCTTCTATTTGCCTTCTTCTCCTATCCAATATTAATTCTCCTCTCCGAAAGAGTCACTAAAAAGAGCTTCTTCTCCTCTTCTCCACTTGTCGTTTCGGAAGTTGATATGGCTTCGATTGATAAAGAGTTTTTAATAATTCTTTGCTTTGCATGACTCTTATGAATGTTGAGAGCTTCTCCACCTCTTTTTCTTCTGTCAAATTTGAAGACGATATGACTTTGTGTGAAAAGGAGTTTTTAACGATTCTCAGCTTCACATAGCTCTTATGAACGTTGAGACTTTCTTCATCTATTCTTCCTCTATCGGATTGGAAGTCGATAATCCACAAGAAAATTTTCTCTTGCAAGTAAAGCCTACCACAAGCTCTTCAAGACCGTTATCTGTATATATAGCAGAATACCCTTTAAACATGATTTTTTCACCCCCTAAAGGTTGCAAGCATAATTTCATTATTTATTAATTTATATCTTTGTTATGAGTCTTCAATTTATATATAAATATCTTTATAGTTTGTTATTTTGCCTTTAACATTATTTTGAATATCTATATTTTTACATAATTATGATTTTTTCCAGTAGTAATATATTGTTAAAAGTTTTTGAGACTTCACTTTCTTATTGATAGAGACTTTGTTAATGACCTTTGTAATTTTAGAAAAGAGTTTTTCTTTTTAAAATCAGAATTTTATTCATGATATCATATTTTAGATGATTAATTTGATTCTTCTTTACTTGCTTTTTAATTAATTTATTTTTTATTTGAGAGGCATTGTTAATAAATTTGGTAAATTTATAAATATGATTTCTTTTTTAATTAAGTTTTTTATTCATGATATCATGTTTTGTAAATGATTAATTTGATTCTTTATCCTGGTCTTCCATTTTAATTATTCAAATTAAATATAAACCTTAAATTTCAATTATTAAAATTATAATTATTTTATTAATGTTAAATCTAATCTATTAATTAGCAAGTTACTGTAGCATTTAATGCATTATATTTATTTTAAATCAATTACTTAGAGTTATCAATTGTATTTGAGAAAAAAAGTTAGAGTTACTAATATCATTTAAGAGTTTTTATTTCACTTCTTCCTAAAGTAACTTTTCATCTTCATTTCTTATTCCTAATTTCATTTATGCATTACGCCTAAATTTTTTATTTACTTTTTAATTTTACTTTTAAGTTAGAGTTATCAATTGCATTTATGAAAATAAGTTAGAGCTATTAATTATATTTAAGAGTTTTTTTAAAAAAATTTCTAATAAAATAACTTTTCATCCTTGTTTTTTTAAACCAAATCCTAAATAATCATTTAATTCTTATTACTTTAAATCTTAACCATTCAAATTTATTAATCAATTTCATTTTAATCAGTTTTAAATAAAAAAATATCTAAATGATAATATAATAATTCATAAATTAATGATTTTAAATTTTTAGTTTTCAAAATGCCTTCTAAAAGTTTTTAACGATTATTAAAAAATAAATGTAAATTAATAATATAATAATTAATTAATTACTTTTTTTTTCAAAATGTGTGTTTTGAAACTTATAAAAGTTTAATAGTTTTTAAAAAATAAATGTGAATTAATGAATTATAATTTTATGTTCATACCAATTATTAAATTTTTTAATTTTGTGTTCATTAATAATAATAGCATCATATTAATTTTCAAACTTTAAAATGTTATATTTCTATGGTACTATTATAAAAGTGATTTGAGTTCCTCTAAATAAAAATATGACCATTTTTTTAACTCTTATTATTTTAAATATCAATAATTTAAATTTATCCATTTTAATTTAATTAGATTTCAACTAAAAAATATAAATAACAATATGATAATTATTTACATTACATTTTCAATTTTTAAAATGACAGTTCTGAAACTTATAGAATCTTAATAATTATTTAAGAATAAATATCAATTAATAAATTATAATGATAGTTTAACATCAATTATCAACATTTTGAATTTTGTATTTATTAACTATTATAGTATAACATCAATTATCAACATTTCAAATTTTGTATACATTTATTTTATTTTTATTTTTTTATTTTTTATTTTTTTATGGTGGGCACAGAGTGAACTATTCAAATTTTGTATACATTAATCATATTTTATTATTTTTATAATTTGAATTATAAAAATACTTTCAATATTTATTTTTTAAATTTCATTATAGATCAATTAAATACTTTTTAAATACCAAAGATCTTTAATGTTATTTGTTAATTAATTATAATATAATTATTAGATATATAACTAATTTAATTTTTTTACTTTTGAATGTAATTTATTAATTAATTATAATACAATAATTAGCTATATAACTAATTTATATTTTTCACTTTTGAACTTTGGGTTTTGAAAGTTTGAGCATTTTAATAATTATTCTAAAATAAGTACTTATTAATAAAATTATATTATTAATTAATTATATTATATCCTATTCAAAATTTATTTTTTGTATTATGCAATTCACTTTTAATTCCACTTATCCTCAATTTTATATTTTTCATCACAATCTTATGACATGTTTTATGAATTATACTCTAAGATGTTCCATCATCTTATAAAATATCAAACTTTCTTTGTTTTATAATTTATTTAACTCAATTGGATCTAATATAATTAAAATAATATTTGATTGTTGAAACACACATATCAATATATTTTTATAGAGCATAATAAAATAATAATTTATGCTTAAACTCCCTCATAAGGTTGTTAGCAATATTTTTAATATTAAAGTCTTGAATTTTAAAATTTATATTATATTTAATATTTATATTTTTACATATTACATTAATAATATTATAAGCCTAAACCCTAAATTTTAAATATTTATATTAAAATTTTAGAAATGTGATAGATATATTGTTATTTTTATCAATAGCGTGCTATTATGATCAGACATTAAATTACATATCTTCTAAATATATTAAGAAAAAAAAACTTTCATGATAATTTGATTAAATTTTTTATTATAATTAACATTAAAGCCTTTAAATATTTTTTGAGATTGATGCAATATATATTATTTATATATTACACTAATGTAAGCACATCTGAAATCATTAAATTCATTAATTATCATTTTTTAGAACATTCTAATACAAAGTTTTCAGCATATTATCAAATATCTTAATACAACATTTTTTTGTTGTTTAATTAAAATCTTATATGCATTTGTTTTAAATTAAGGATATAAGTATTGTTACAATTACTTGTAATAATAAATTTATTTATTACATCATTTATAAAAAAAATTTAAATAAATTAAATAATATTTATAATTTAATAATATTATTTAATTATTTAAATTTTATTAACGTGCATTTAATGCACGTGCAATTATACTAGTATTACCAAATTGTTGATTTTTGTTTTATTTGAATTTATTAATTAGTTCCATTTTTATCAATCCACATTTGTTGAGAGGTGCCAGCCATTTGTTGAGAGGTGCTGGCCATCGGATTTGGTCCTACGTTTTTTTTTTTGGGACATTTAGGCCATTTAAGGCAAACTCACACACACGACGCATACACATAGACTCGAACCTTAGACCTCTTAGTTGGAAGCCTAGGCTCTCAACCAATAGGCCAAGGAGAGTTGTGTTTTGGTCCTACGTTTGATCAAGTATAAACATAAGAGCTAATGATGTGTGTGAAAAGTTCGAATAATGCGCCAAAGTTCGTTTTTTCTGTTGTTTGCACTTCTTAAATTTCTTCTGTTGATTCAGCTAGTGTTTCATAATTTTTTTTTCTATTGAATTATCTAATTATTAGTT